CCCCCCCCCCCTCCCCCCCGATTCCTTTCAAGAAAAGCAGAAGAAAAAAGAAGTATATCGTTGACACTTGACGTGGTATGGCAGCGGCACGACTGGCCTTCCCAAGGGGTGCGCCTTCACACTCTCCAGAGTCTGGCTGATGTGCGGACACTGTATGCCCATCTGTGACGGCCAACCTGGCGTGGATCAATGGTACAACAGCATGCCCCTTTACCACGGCACCGGCGGCATCTCGAGTTCGACCTCCCTGATCCAGGGTGTCAGCATAGCTCTTGCGCCCAAGTTCTCCGTCTCACGGTTCTGGAACGACATCCACGACAGCGAGAGTACCTTTTTCATCTACGTCGGCGAGACGGCGCGGTACTTGCTCAACGCCCCCGCCCATCCTCTGGAGCGCAAGCACAAGCTGCGTGTGGCGTACGGGAACGGTCTGCGACCCGACGTGTGGACCAAATTCCAAGACCGCTTCAACATTCCCGAGATTGGCGAATTCTTCAACTCCACAGAAGGCATGTTCACATTGTTCAACTACGACAAGGGCCCCTTTTTGGAGGCGTGCGTGGGCCACCACGGACTGATTCTCCGGAGGGCGCTGCAGAACGTCTACATCCCCGTCAAGATCGACCACGAGACCGGCGACATCTGGCGAGACCCCAAGACGGGCTTCGCGCAACGTATGCCGTACGAGGAAGGCGGCGAGATGATCGTCGCGGTGCCCAGCAAGCAGGCCTTCCAGGGCTACTGGCGCTCGCAGGCTGCGACGGACAAAAAATTCTGCACCGACGTCTTCAAGAAGGGCGACATTTACTACCGGTCAGGCGATGCGTTGAGACGAGACGCCGACGGACGCTGGCATTTTCTGGACAGACTAGGCGACACGTTCAGATGGAAGAGCGAGAACGTGTCGACGGCCGAGGTCGCGTTGACCATTGGCCAGTACCCTGGTATCGCAGAGGCGAACGTCTATGGTGTGCTCGTGCCCAACCACGAGGGACGTGCTGGTTGTGCCGCCATCCATCTAGACCCGAACTACACGGGCGCACCTGTGAATTGGGACGACCTGCTCAAGTTCACGAGGGCGAGGCTGCCGCGGTACGCGGTGCCGGTGTTCCTCAGGGTCGTGAAAGCCAGCACACACATACATAACCACAAGCAGAACAAGGTCCCGTTGAGGAAGGAGGGTGTCGACCCGAACCTGGTAGGAACCGAGGTGAAGGAGGGCAAGGATGATGTCTTTTTGTGGATCCCTCCAAAAGGGGACGGCTATGTTTCCTTCAGCCGAAAGGACTGGGAACTGTTGGAGAGGAAGGAGGCGAGGTTATAATATACTTGCCATCTACAAACCACCGTCTAATCCAGCTACTATGTGATGACTATACCGAACACGATGAAAGGGAAATTGGTAGATACAAGTACGAGTGCGGGAGATATATCTCCCTGACGTGTTTGGAAAGCAGAATTAGATCTCTTTAGAGATAGACGATGGATGATTCATGTGCATACACCGTAGGCAGAGTTGGGGGAAATAAATACATTACTTTCTCCATTCCAACAGTGCAGTCGCTAGTGGTGGTTATCATCGGTGTCTATTATGATTCACCAACCCATCTTGACTTTCCTCACGTCCTCTTGCTTCTTCTTCATCTTCTCCTTCTTCTTGTCTTTGCCGCCGCACGCTGGCCTGATCGACATGCTTTTCCGGGTCAAACACGTACATCGGCCATTCGAACCCGACGGTCCGCTTGATCGCCGTGGGTAATCTGACCCAGATCCCAGGCGGCAAGGGGATGAGAATACTGGTAGTGTCCAACCAGGCCTTGTGTCTCGTCCAACCGTCCCCTTTGGGTCCGTCCTTTTCAAACTTTTTCTTCGCGCCGGGGCGTTCTTGTAACGTCAGTCCGGACACGAAGAGCAACAGGAGCGTCAAGAACAGGGCCCCCAGGAGACTCGCGTACTGTGCCGCGTAGGCTCCCGACCCCGACGGTACGTGGCCGTAGGCACTGGGCGAGATGGCCATTGTGAAAATGGCAAACTGTACGACAATCTCACCAAAGTAGTTGGGATGTCTGGACCAAGAGAACAAGCCGACGTCACACGTCGCGCCTTTGTTGTCAGGGTCGCACCGGAACCGATACTTTTGAACATCGGCAACGGCCTCGACCAGAAACCCGACGGCGAACATGATGACGCCCGCAATGTCCGCGGCAGTGCCGAATGTCGGGGCCGCGTACGCCGTGACGCGAGGAGAGTTGAGGATCGTGACGGGGAGACTCACAGTCCAAACCCACAGGGCTTGAAAGGTCCAGAAGCCCAAAAATGGGAAGAATCGTGACCGTTTGTCGTCGAAGCGGGTGTCGGAACCCGTCTTGAGGATTCGAAACAGTAAAAACCCAGAGAGACGAGCCGCCCACGCCGCCAGACAGAGGGCCGTCAGGATCTGGCGGGCCGTGTGCGTGGCCGAGAGTGAGAGTGTCAGGACACAGAGAATGATGAAGTTTGTACCTCCTGCGAAATCTGGAGAGACGTAAAGGTTGTACGTGTCAGAATATCACCAATGACTGCACAAAGTCTTTGAAAAAGTCACGGAGTCAAAAAACGTACCTGTCAACTTGTCGAACTGACAAGTGTAGGCGATGGAGAATCCGAGAAGTTGATATCCGACCGTCACCAGAAATGTGATGGCAAGATAGTAATCGTCGAGGACATGATGGACAGCCATTTTCTGATCGAGGCGTTGGACGGTGTGAACGAAAGCAACCTTGTCTTCAAGTTGTTTCACTTCATATGTGGTGGTGGGAAACAGCGTCACTGACAACTCTGTAGTATGCTGGATCTTTCTGCATCAACAACGATCGTAGCAGGTTTGACCTGTCGATTCGATGTCGCTTGATTTTAAACGGACGTTGTTCCATGCACAAGGATGTAGAAGTGCCACGACCAGGATTTTTTTCAGATCTTGTCGCGTACACGGACGAACTTACCTCAAGTCGTGGCTTAGCCACGTCTTGTACCATACTTCCATGACACAGGCATGTGCTCATAGCTTGTTCTACACCTCATCAAGAGATCTTGACCGTGCGTCGCATCGCATCGTTTGTGCTGTGAATCTCCAAACAATGATGACGTCGTAGATTTTTGCGGGAGATCGAAACGTTCCCGGAGGAACTGTTGATCGCACCGTCTTCGCCTTTCCGAGTAATGATGAATGAGTAAGCGTAGCCTCGCCAGCCTTGACGATTTAGGAGTTACCGAACTATGTACAGGCACTCCTTAGGCCCCTATTCACTGCCCCGTCTACTGGGGAGGACACTGAGATGAAAAAGTCATTTTGTTGATTAATTTTCAAGTTGAGAGATCCATTTGTAACCAGTTTAGGGTATCGCTATTACTACATGATTCCATCAAGTCTAATCGCCGCGCTCAAATACGCCCAAACAAACATCGTAGAGAAAAGAACTAAGTCGATGTAGTAACTCAGTACCCGGCCTTTTTGAGTTCTTGCTCGGTCCAATCCCACAGTTTCTTGCCTGCCTCGGCGTCCGTTGCCCATTTGTTGTTCTGTAACTTCCCGACGGGGGTGTAATACTGTCCATTCTTCAGCTCTTCCTTCTTCGCACCGGCCGAAAGCCACAAGGTGTTGAATGCTCCCGCCTCGATGGACTGGAAGATAAGTGGGCCGATCAACTTGGATCCGTACCTGACGAGCGGGTTCGTCTGGGAGTTGGCGGCATACAGGTCTGTGTGGATCATACCAGGGTGCAGCGACACGGCGGTGAAAGCTGGATACCGACGTGCGAACTCGGCCGCGAACATGATGTTTGCTGCCTTCGAGGCCCCGTAGCGTGCCCATGGGCCTTGAGCTGAGAGCTTCTCCGTCGATAGGATGGTGTCGAGCTTGGGACCAAGGTTCCACGCCTCGGACGAGAGCGAAATAACTCGGACGTCTTGGTTGTATTGATTTGCCGTCTTTTGAAGCAACGGGAGAAGAAGCTTGGTCAGCAGAAAGTGGCCGACGTGGTTGGTGCCCAGCTGGATCTCCTGTCCCGAGGCAGTCTTTCCGGCGGGGACGGCCATGATGCCGGCATTGAGAATCAAGATGTCAAGTCTGTCGGTGCGACTGGCCACTTGGTCGGCTGCTTTGTGGATGGACGGCAAGGAAGCCAGGTCGAGTGGTAGGAACTCGATGTCGACACCTTGCGGGATGCTGGATTTGATGGAAGCAATGGCTTCGTTGGCTTTGGCTTCTGTGCGGGATGCTAGGAAAATCTTGTGCGGGTTGTGCTTTGCGAGCTGGAGGACAGTTTCTTTGCCCAGGCCAGCATTGCCTCCAGTAACGAGGATAACCTTGTCGCTGAGACTGGGGATGTCCTTTTCGGGGTTGAATGATTTGCTGGTGTTGAATGGCCACATGTTGACAAGACCAGGGAAGAATATTTCAATGGCGGTCAAAGGATGAGTTGCGTATGGCAAGGCTAGCCCTGTAGCTAGATAGAAGAAATCTTGAAGGTTCGAGAGGCTTGGAAGTATCGCTTTGTCTGTGATGCTGGGTTTCTGGGTTTCGTTGTTGGATTGTCCATCCTTTTGTACCTCGTCGACCTCCGTGTCCTTCGGGACTCCTTGGGTTGATGATGGTGGTGGCGCCATCAACGCAAGAATGTCTTCCCGTCTCCTCTCGATAGCCTACGTGCATAGAGTCCAAGAGACATGTGTTACCTACCTTAGTAATCTAGTAAGGACCACTTGTTTACGGACATAGCCTAAACAAAGAAATGGAGAGTCGGGGAGTGGTGGACGTAATAGAAGGCCCTGGTCGGTGCGGAGAAAATCCAGGGCCGGTGTGACCAATGAGGCGATTTTGCATTACGGCCGCAACCCGGACAAGATCAACTGGTCATCCATCCACCAACTACTTCTTTCGTTGGCTTATGATGCGAGACTAAACAACAACTGCAGGACAGAATACAGAGTGGTGTCTGCTGTCCCCCAGCTCTCATTCGTGGGTATCATCAAATCATATTTGTCCTTCGTCAGAACTCCTGTTGCTATGCTAAAATGACAAACAATACCTTGGCACTGTCACAGTCTAGTAACAGAAACCCTCCACGTGAAGATATATCCCCTGAGCGCCGGTTCCTTTATGCACCGCTCTTTCATCCGACAACGCAACCACACTTCGTCGCACATCATCCTGTAGACCCTGTGGTCCACAGACCACCACTGCGCTTTCTCCTTCCGCCTCCTCCAGGACTTTTCTGATGATACTTCTAGGTTTTGGCCGACCAGCCACCATTTTAAGGCGTTGTGTAGGTACAATTGCCTCTGAAGCATCCTTCTCATTGATGGAGGAGGAGGAAGAGGATTCTGCACTTGATGATGCTGCACAGCAACAACATGTTTTTGGTTGCCCATCCTCGTCGACGGTGCTTCTGCAGCAACAGGTTCCGTCAGATCCGCAACCATCCTGGACGTCTTCGTTGGAGGCAACCGAGCGGACATCAACCTTTTCATCTGTGACTTTTTCCTTTGCCGTTGCGGCCTGTTTGGTCTGAAGAGTGGCAATCTCTGCGGTGCCATGTGCCGATGGCTCACATATTGCCTCACTATTGGATGCTTCCAATTTATCGTCACAAGTCACGTAGATGCTGAGGTCAAGCTCCTTGTCCGAATGGCCGTCATGTCGCCGGACTTCGTCAACGTCCATCAGTGCGGTTTCCAACTGTTTCTGAAACCAGGACACTCGATCGCGAGCTTTCACCACCCAAATAAATCGAATACGCTTCGTAACAATGCCAGAACCAAGGACACCAGTCTTCCACCGCTGTACGATGTCGCGCATTAACGGTACTGTGAAAGTGGCACCAGTACTGCCGGCAAAGAGACAAATGCTATCAAACTGACGCAAGGGTCTGATTCGACCATATGGACCTTCGACTCCAACAAGCTTTTGTCGGGTGACAGGGAGATCTTCGTGACTTGGAAGGCCCATGCCCTTTTGGGCGAATCGATGGAAGCGTTTTGTACCACCTCCTTTTGCTTGTACTAGAAATTCCAGCTTCTCATCAGACTGGATCGAGGCAATGCTGAATGGATGACTCTGCAAAGGGACCACCGTATGGCAGGAGAGGAAAACGTGTTGTCCCGCTGTCCACCTCAGAACCGGCTTGTCGATAGTAATTCGCGTTATGTTTCCTGGCAGGGGCGTCAAAGTTGCTCTGTTTGCCCACAGCCAGTCCCTTCCTGGCAGCTGTCGATGGAAGAAGGAAAAATTGGCGAAAAGCGTGATAACAAATCGGAGGACTCGATCGAAGAAGAAAATCGCAACACAAGCCCAGACATAACCCGGGCCATAGTCGACATGGATTATCACGCACCCGATAAATCCAGAAAAAAGGATGAGATGAACGACGAGGAAGACCTCGTAACTCAAGCGCCGCATTGGTGCAAAGGAGGTCGCCACGATGGCAGTCAAGATGCACCAGGCAGCAAAGCCAGTTTGTGTCATATTGTCTGTGGCCAGCTTCACTTTGATGTAATCGTAGCGTGCCCAGCTTCTGAACCAGAATCCAAGATGGAAAGTAGCCGTCAACCAGAGAACCCGGGCCACCCATCGATGCAACCAGCTGAGGCGTTCGTAGCCGACGCCGGACAGGAAGCCAATAATGTTTTGCTTTCCCGCGAGAAGGAATATCAGAGGAAGCTGTGTTTGAGCCATGCATCCACACCTGTAGGCGATGTTCTCCCAACTCCATTGATCCGTGGTGTCGTATCTATAGAAGCAGAACACACAGACGGTGATGAGATATGACAGGACCACAATGACCTTGCCTAGAGGAGGCGAGCGGATTTTAAGCCATCCAAGTTGATAAGTTGGAAGTGAAGAAGCATTGATCTCGCGACTAATGGCTGTCATTGTGGCGTAAAAGGCCCAGAGGAAAGACTTTGGTTTCGCATCAAGGCTTCGCTGTCGTTGCCAGAGGAGGATATGGTCAAGAATATTCAGAAGGGTCGCGAAAGCAATGACAGAGCCGATGACCACCCAGAACATTTTCTGCATGTAGAAGTAGCCTGGGACATTGTTCCCAGCGCTCATACTTCCCATATCCATATCCCCCATATCCCCGCCATGATCATGTCTTGTGAGAAGAGACATGATTGTCGAGTAGTGGAATGGTCAGAACACCACAATGCTCTCCTCCAGGTGTTGTCATACAAAAGGACCGCCGTTCAAAGAAGCAATCACCACAAGGGGGTTTCGTCCCTTAATGCCATAGACGCCGTCAAGTACTTGATATTTGTCGTAGCCCCTAGACGAAGACTGGTAGGATAGGCCGGTCTTTGGATCTAATGGCTCGTGAAATAAAACAGGACTCTGAGCAAGATATGACGGTGTAATCTTCTTTTCCTGATCGTAGGTGAGAATAGAAACCTCAAAGCTCAGAGAATCCTGCCAGGGAAAACGTGCTCTGTGCAAACGGCGGCCGAAATCGAGGTCCTGTATGGAAAAAGGATCAATCGGGACCAAGGAAATCCACCGGGTCAGCAACTGAAGGGGCAAATGGAGGGCGCGAAAATGAACAAAAAAACATGCTCAAGTCCAGACGCGCCTCTCACCACCCATCGCATGAGTGTCTTTACGGAGACAAAGAACAGGGGAAAAGTGGTCGAGTGGTGGACTGTGCATAAAGCGGATTCTTCATGCGCCTCAACCGCAGCTAAAACCTGTGAAGCCGACAAACTTGCTCGCCAAGAACTTGCTCAACTCTGGTCGCCCTCAAGACTTCACAAAGCCAAAGCAAGTCAGATCAGTGAAGTCTGTGTCGAAGTGGACACTCGATTGCCGACCCAGACACATGCCTCTTGTCGATAACAATAATGTGGACACGCCGAATCCTACTTGGTACTGTTGACCGGTGAATGAGTACGCGGTCGATCTTCTGTAACATGCTCAACCTTTGACTCTGTCGACCATCATTAACACAACAGCCTGCAACCTCTTGAACAGCAGGATCCTAACAATTGCACCACGTATACTACTCGTACGGATTCAAAATCACTACCTTTACAACACAGCCAAACTTCTCATCACCTCCTCCTCAACCCAAAAACCCCCGAAGAAACATATTCCATCACCATGTCGCACTCAATGTCCGGCATGGGCCACATGGACATGACCTTCTTCACTGGCCACACCACTCCTCTTTACTCAAACTCATGGACACCATCTTCTGTAGGAGGCTATGCAGGCACCTGTATTTTCCTGATCCTTCTCGCCATCATGTTACGACTTCTCTTCGCGGCAAAGGCACTCTGTGAACAGCGATGGTTGGCTAGTGCGCAGAACCGACGTTATGTGCTTGTCCGTGGGAGGTCAACGGAAGCCGGCAGGATCGATCAGGATCCTGACGCCAAAACCGGCTCGCTGGTGACAGCGAACGGGGTGGAGGAAAACATCAAAGTTATACAAGCATCGACTGGAGCAGTGGTGCCTTTTCGATTATCTGTCGATGTCCCTCGTGCTTGTCTTACAACCCTCATTGCCGGTATCTCATATCTACTGTAAGTCAAAGCAACTGTTTTACGAGGTGTCGACCCTATCTGACTTCTTACAGCATGCTGGGTGTTATGACCATGAACGTGGGCTACTTTCTCTCGGTGCTGGCGGGCGTTTTTGTTGGCGAACTGGCTGTGGGCAGATATGCTCAGATTGATGAACATTTACATTGAGCGACGCTTAATGATACTCGTATATTTTGTAGCCAAAAGCTCAAGAGCCCTGATAGAGGTTGCTTGACAGAAGATTCGTTTTGCAGGCCTCGTCTTACTAGTCGTTGTGGTTGCCCTTGTTGGGGTCTCCGGAGACCCGTCATTCTCACTATCCTCATTTAGAATCGGTATAGCTCTTGGGAAATCAAATTGATGATTGTATGACACACGCACGAATATTCATCTCGGCAGATTCATTCTACACTCTGCTCATTCCACTTGTGCCGCTACACGGGTGTCTATCACCAGCCTTCGAAGGGAATGTGATGTGGAGCTCTCGTCGACCCCTGGCGAAATTCGAACCCCTGTTCCCGCGCTGTCAAGCTAATAACCAAAATAATGTGAGCACGTTTTCGCTCTCCACCACAAAATGTGCTCTTTCCAACCAACGACTTCAATACTGTACGTGCCTTCCGCTTTGCATCAAGGCTTGAAATGAAGAAGAACAGGTAAGCTTCGACAAGCAAGCGAAGCTCCGGCGCCATACTAACAGGTAAGCCACCACTTTGGCGGTCTGAAGGGCACTATACGGATACCTACCTAGGTACCGGATTTGTCTAGACTTAATGCTCCGTTGCTGCACGCCCTGACATACTTCTTCGTTCCTTCGTTCTGTGCTTTTGCCCTCCATTAAACTACCCAGTTCTTCCCTCTCTTTCTGTACCTCAACCTTCTTCAAATCTTGCCCTAAACACTCAGGTCTACTGATTCTTCATCGACACATACGACACAATGGTTCCTCAAACACTTCTTGCGGCCCTCTCGCTGCCTCTGCTGGCCACTGCTCACTTCCACATGCTGTACCCAACCCCGCGCAGCAATGTCGAGGATACAGAGCCTACCTTCCCATGCGGTGGTCATCCAGTCTCTGAGAACCGGACGCTGGTCTCGGAGTCGGTTATCCCAGTAGCTCTGCAGATGGGCCACGATCGAACTGTCATTCAGATGCTACTTGCATTGGGCAACAACCCTGGCGACAACTTCAACATCACTCTCGAACAGACCTTCCAGCAACAGGGCGAGGGTGATTTCTGTTTGCCTACGGTCAAGATCCCTGCCGACTCGAACATCACCGACGGCACCAATGGTACTCTGCAGGTGATCACTGATAACGAGGGCGGTGGCGGTCTCTACATCGTATGTTGTCTCCTTAGATATGTTTGGATTGCCGTTGACTAAAGAACTTGTCTAGTGCGCCGACCTCACGTTCACATCGGCTCCCACGGTCCAATCCCTTCCAAGCGCTTGTACCAACGGCACGGGCGTCACGGCCTCCCCACTCTCTTCTATCGTCAATGCCAATGTGACAAATGGAGACGGTTCGCCTCAGGGCGGCTCGGGTTCTGGATCGTCTTCAGCCTCGGGCAGCGCAACTCCAAGTGCTACGGCGAGCGCTTCATCCAGCGCCAAGACTGGCAATAGCGCTGCCGTATTGACCGCTGGTTGGGGCGTCTTGGGTGCTGCGGCCTTGGGAGCGGTCGCTCTGATGTAATGATGTAAGATGACGAGGAACAGAAGACAAAACACTCAAGTTTGCGAGCAGTACTGGAGTTGCAGACACAGTTCACGACCAGACCATCTCCAACAAATAACTTTCTTCGTTTGGGATCTGCTTACACTGCCGACACTACCATGCAGAGTCTTTCAAGAATGAAAATGACTGACGAAGCGTCAAATTTCCAATAAGAATTGATCTCCAAAACATCTTCTGTTGGACTAATGTTGTACTTAAGGCCATGTCTCAACCAAATTCCACTCGCCTATAGTTTCACTTGGTTGTCTACCACCTGGCCCACCGACTTCCTCTGACAATGTCCAGATCTGTCTTTTGGCGTTGGCTGGGTCGGTCAGGTCCACTGCCTCAACCTGTTCCGGTGTGATTATGCAAACTCGGAAATTCTGCCTCGCCAGTGGTTCATCGGAAAGATGTCCTGCCTTTTGGCCCAGCCCTTCTCCTGCTTTTTCATCCTTGCCTAAATCTATTGCTTGGCCGGGTTCGGGGTTCTTAAAGGAGCCTCTCATCATAGGCGAGAGATTCTCAAAGTGGTTCTCGGTCTCACGCTTCCATGACCAATCCTTATTCTTCTCCGCGTGACCGTTTTTTGTTCGCATATATCGACCGAGCTCGGCCTTGACAGTGACGGTCCCCGAGTTCTGTGCTTCCTCGCCGCCTTCAATATCATCGGGCCCAATGATCCAACATTTCCCCCGTATACGCCATTGGGTCATTGTGTCCTTGACCCAATAGACTGCCTCCACCGGCCCACCTCCTCCAGAACCTGATCGGGACTGTGCTAGATCTCCTTTGCCCTTGCCGGTGGCAAATATGTCGAATGTCTTTCCCATGCGGGCGTCCGTGGTGAAAGTTGGACAATCAGATTCATAGATGGCAGGATTTTTGGGAAGTTTGTTATGCTCATTCTCGGGCAAAGTCGCCCAGAAGCCACGAAAGATACAGGTTCGCACACGGGGCAGACCATCTTTCGTGACCGTTGCAAGCATGAACTCCGCTCCCGATCCACGATTGCCAGCACTCTCCTCAAGGTGTTCCTGGAATAGTTGCTTCCATGGCGCCGTGGTGGTCGCGGTAGGATGAGACATGGTGGAAGCGAGGCGGGTTAAACGACTCACTGTTCTGGATGCCAGAATGAAGGCGATGTGGATGTATTTTCTGGTGTGCCCTTTTTTTCAATCTTTGTCAGGTCATTTTATCCCTTCTATACCCGACCTAAGAGACTGTTATTGCTGGTCCATGACGCGCTGATTCTCTTGTTGAAATCATTGCCCTAGGAAGATGACGTCGGGCAGCATCAATCTGAATTCGGCGAGGTGCGGGTAATTACCTACAAGACTGAAGAGGGTGTGGCTCGAGTGCCGGGACGTGGCTTGTGCGGGCTTATCAAGCGGAAGCCTTGTCCCGCCCGGCGACCCTAAAGCGCGTTCCTGGCGAGGCTGAAGGTAAACTGTGGCTTGTATCTTTGTTGCCCGGAAACACCATGAGTAAATTGAGGCCAGGCCATACACACCATGGTTGACACTAGCAGGCATGTTCTCCTCTTGAACGGTCTGCTCTAGTCCTGTTCTTGTTCGCATGCGTAGTTGGGCTTCAAGATACTTGCACTGCATCTACCTTCATTAGACACTGGGTCGGAGTTCTGAAGGTGTTGGTCAACAAACGCAGTCCATTGCCCTTCACTGCGCGGAAAGGGCGTCCGCGAAAACATCCTGCCACAGTCACCAAAACATTATCCTCGTCCAAAACACAAATGGCTGTTGCCAATACACCACTCTCTCCAACATCACAAAAAGACCTCAACATGGTCATGCCTATGCCTCCTCCTCTCTTGCACACTCGTTCGGGCAACGAGCTGTACGATCGCCCTCAAACCCCGACCACACCGGGTGGAAATCATGGATTCACCAGTCCGGTCCAGACACCTCAGGGCAGTCCGAGCAAGAAACAACTTCCTCCTGGTGCCAATGACTTGCCAAATGTCTTTGAGAATGCCATGAAACTGGCTCCTGCGTCGCCTACCAAGACTCAGCCCTTGTCGCCCACCAAACAAGGCCTTTCACTCGGCACCGACAATGTCAACAGAGACCCCTTCGCTGACCACAACAATCACAACTATGGCCGTTCTGAGAGTCCCACACGTCAGTCAAACAAGGAAAATGCACCAGCCATGAGGTATGGAAAGGACATCCAGCAAAACCACGCTGCACTGTCTCGACAGGAGCAATACCAGCCAACTGAGTCGAGAAAAACAATTACACGTGGCTTGACCACCGAAGAGATGCAGAAGCTACAACTACCCAAGGTGAAGCGTCTTGCAAATGTGACTCAATTGTGTAAGTGACCATGTCTGATTGAACTCTTCCGCTTCTAACTTGACTAGACTTTCTCGACTACTACTTCGACCTCCTTTCTTACGTGCACAACCGTCAGTCTCGAGAAACTGCCTTCAAGGCCTCTTTCCCAGAACCACCTGAGACCCCGAAAGAAGAATACGATGCTGCTTTGCACAAATATCTCGGCCGTGAACGTGCCAATTTGCGAAAGCGTCGGACTCGTCTCCGCCATGGCGATTTCCAGATCTTGACACAGGTTGGCCAGGGCGGCTATGGTCAGGTCTATCTGGCCCAAAAGAAGGACACACGCGAAGTCTGCGCCCTCAAGGTTATGAGGAAGAAATTACTGTTCAAATTGGATGAAGTCAGACATATCTTGACCGAGCGAGACATCCTGACCGCTGCTAAATCCGACTGGCTTGTCAAGCTGCTCTACTCGTTCCAAGACGATGAACAGATCTATCTTGCCATGGAATACGTCCCAGGCGGAGACTTCAGGACACTATTGAACAACACTGGCGTTCTACACAATCGACATGCTCGTTTCTACATCGCAGAGATGTTTGCTTGCGTTGACGCCCTTCACACCTTGGGCTACATTCACAGAGACTTGAAGCCGGAAAATTTCTTGATCGATGCTACTGGCCACGTCAAGCTCACCGATTTTGGTCTTGCTGCTGGTATGCTGAGTCCCATCAAGATTGAAAGCATGAGAATCAAGCTCGAGGAGGTCGGAAATACCCCAGTGCCTTTTGGCATCACACCAGTTGAAGATCGATCAGCCGACCAACGACGTGAGGGATACCGTTCTTTGCGAAAGAAGGACATCAACTATGCCAAGTCGATTGTCGGCTCTCCAGACTACATGGCCCCTGAGGTTCTCAAAGGGGAACAGTACGACTTTACCGTTGATTACTGGTCCCTGGGATGCATGTTGTTTGAAGCACTTGCAGGATACCCTCCTTTTGCTGGTGCGACAGTTGATGAGACCTGGCAGAACTTGAAGAGATGGCAACGTGTTCTGCGAAAGCCAATCTACGACGATCCAAACTATTTCCTCAGCAAGCGCACCTGGGATTTGATCACTCGTCTCGTGGCGGCCAAGGACAATCGTTTCAAGAACATTTCAGAAATCCACAAGCATGAGTACTTTGCCGAAGTTGATTTCAATGCACTCAGAGAGCAAAAGGCACCGTTTGTGCCCGAGCTTGACTCTGAGACCGATGCTGGATACTTTGACGATTTCAGCAATGAGGCCGACATGGCCAAGTACAAGGAAGTGCATGACAAGCAGCGAGCTCTTGAAGACATGGCCGAGAGAGACGAGAAAATGGGCAAGAGTTTGTTCGTCGGATTTACTTTCAGGTATTTATCTTTCACCTTTTAGCAAGTGAGCCAATACTGACATTGACTACACAGACACCGTAAGCCAGATACAGAGGCAAGCCCACGAAAGCGAATTGAGACGGACGGCACATTCGGAACAATGTTTTAGTTGCTCAAGGATGGTGCATAGACCGTTAGCACCAGGGTTTCGAGGAGCCAGGGTCTAGGCGAATTCTGGACACCAGGATCAGGAATCGTTTGCGCAGAGCAGTCACGGAAACTCCCGTCTTGTTGAATTGGGGAACGGCGTTGGGATCGCATATTGTGGTCGAGCAAACTATGACTTCCAGGGGTTTCGGTTACTATTACTTTCGTGTACGTGCATGTAATGTGGGATGACAGAAATGATGCTCAGGCCATGCAGTGAATGTTGGTATGAATGCGGATTGGACTCGGAATTGGTCTTGGTTGCGGATAGAGATCATCAAGTGCAAGAGGTGTAAGTACCTTGGTAGTACTGGCATGGCCAAGGTAGAGCATTCAACTATTGGACTGTTTTCAAGTGAACCAGATGAGTTCTAGTGTTTTGTCATGCCCTACTAAGTTTCTATCTATGCAAGATTTTTTCTTCTTCGCTAAACTGTCATGTCCATTTCTTTGATGTTCCTCGTTCGTCGTCAATACATTTCTTGGTCTCACTACTGCTTGAAGTTCCTCGCATACCCAGGCCACTGCCTCTCAAAGGCCTCGACGGTGTCCAGGATGGACTTGTCGTAGCGGATGAAGCTGTCGGCACCGCCCAGGGCCTTGTGCGCCTTGGTCGAGACCAGACTGCTCTCGCCCTCGACGAAGCCATAGTCGGGCGGGGTGTAGCCTTGGCCAGGGTTGCCGACGACGATGTCTCGTCCGGGGAATTTCTCGCGCAACAAATCCGCGGCGGCCTGGGGGGGTGCTTTGCCCATGGACAGCAGGTACCGTTGTCCGTCGCTCCGGTCGGGGTGTTCCATGGCCCAGACGTGCATGCGGGCCACGTCTCGGACGTCGACGTAGCCGGCCCCGCCGATCTGGGGAGGGAGTTGCTTGTCGCCGCTCCAGATCCGCCACACCGGGAGGAGGGTCTCGTTCAGCCCCTGGGGGGACTGGGGCCAGGACACCGGCGGGCCGGTGACGACCGCCGGCAGGACGGACGAGACGGCGAATCGGGGTTGGTGTTCCGCCACCCAATCCCAGACCGCCCTTTCCGCCGCGGCCTTGGACGCCCCGTAGGCCACGAGGGCGGAAAAGTCCTTGCGGGCGACGGCCTCGCCGCTCGTGTTCCAGTCGGCCTCGGTGTAGGCGTGGTCGGGGGCCTGTCTCCACCTGTCCACCACGGCGGCGACCGAGGAGGTGACCACGAAAGACCTCAGGGTGGTCGTCGTCGTCGTCGACGACGACGACGACGAGGCGTGGGCGAGGGCCGAGTTCAGGATCGACAGGTTGCCGCCCACGGCGGGCCTGAAAAAGTCGTCGACGTTTGTCAGGGAAAAGTCGACGGGCGAGGCGGTGTGGATGACGGCGTGGACTCCACGCACGGCCGAGTCGAACGCACCCGGGGCGGTGATGTCGGGGACCACGGCGTGTTCGTATCGCGAGTCGTGACCCTTGAACGCACCCGACAACAGATGTGTCTGGGTCGCGGAAGACCTCGACGTTCCCCTGACCTTGTACCCCTTTCGGAGGAGTTGGACGCCGATGTGCGTGGCAATGTACCCGTTTATACCGGTGATGAGAACAATCTTGTCCTCGTTGGCCGCCGTCACGGCGGACGACGGTGGTGACATGGTGGGCGACGATGGCGACGACAACGGCGAAGAGGGTGATTTTTCTTCAGCGGCAGCAGTAGCGAGAATGGGTGACTGTGGTGATCGACTTCTACTCCGACTGAGGGATCGTAGGTAGAGGTGAGAAAGTCTCTTTGAGGTCTCTATTTTGGCGACTTTGGGGGGGGGTCAGGGCCTTTCGCTGGGGGCTTTGTTTTTATATACAGTCAGGGTAGGTTCAGGTATCTGGGTACCGGTACAAGTACGAGGTGTAATGTACGATGCTCGTTGATGTTTGACCAAGGAGTTTGGGCAGATCTCGTTTATCTCATCCGGAGACTCGGTTGTTTCTTTGGGACCGCAACGCCGGTTTTAGCTGCTCCGTAGAGGTAAGGATAGATGGAGGCCCACAAGAGTGGGGGGCAAGGAAGTTCTCCCGACTTTGAAATGTTGTATTTTTTAAAGATTTATTGATTCAATTCATCCGTAATCCTGTTGTCAAGTGAAAAGCGTGCTGCCGTGATTGTTTCAACCCAGCCGACTGATTCCGTATGACTAAAGGTTGAAGTCTCCCGACAACGAGAGATTACTAAACTGGAGGGCCCGACGTCAATCTCAATGTTTAGCAATTACGATGGCGGAATTGTCTAGACAGTCCAGTCTATACAGGAGACATGTAATCCGCCTTGAGGCTCTTTTTGACACGTGTGACGTAGATACACCCATTACTTGTAGCACATGAGTTTTTATAGCACAATACGGAGTAGAAAGACTGCCAGCGTTGATTTTGGTAGATATTTAGTAAAGTGGCCGTCATTCTACGTCAGGCGAGACCAGAAATGGCCAATCTCACCGTAACTTCTCCGTCCGCACGTTTCGGTCTGACGGAGTGTTTTATTTCCATCGTCATTTTTTGTCCAGTTCACATTCCCAACGACGTGGTCTCTTGATTGTGCTGCATTCCGGAGCGATATCTTGCCGCTCAATTTCGATGCTGCCACGAGTTCAGAATTGTTTCAACAGTAGTATTGCCAAGGCCCATAAGACTTCACCGTTCCGTACGAAGCGCAGCGCCCCTGGGTTACTTTTGTTTGGTAAGGGAGTTGATTCGAAGGTGGCCTTCGAGCAATATTCAAATTGACGGTAGTTTGACACTTGACACAGATCGCGAATTCTATGCATGGGCAGGTAGACGCTCGTTGACTGTCCGACAACGATCCTCGTGGTCAAGGTCAATTGGGAGCACTATGGCTGAGAGGAGGCCTCTGAGGTATGCGGACGTGCGTCGACCAAGGCAAAGGGCCATTTTTGTCAACGTGGCATCGATTCACTGACGGAAAGAAGCACAGATCGGCATCAATCTAGGAGATCCCGTCTTTCGTGGAGAGTATCACGGAAAAAAGGCACACGAAGATGACCTCGACGATGTGATTGAACGAGCCGTGGCTGTGGGATGCACCAAATTCATGGTCACGGGATCCAGCTTGAAAGAGTCTCAACATGCCGTCCAAATCGCAAAGCAATACCGTAGGTGGAAGTCCCGGGAATTGAAAAGTCCCAATATCTCTCTCTGACCTGACATGGACACCAGCTGGCAAATGTTACGCGACGGTCGGAATACATCCTTGCTCGACGCAAGACTTTGACACCCATCCCGGTGGGCCCGAGGCATTAATTCGAGACCTTCGAGCACTCGCCATCGAAGCAAAGAACGATGGCTATGCTGTCGCTTTTGGCGAGATCGGTCTGGACTATGACCGACTGTTTCTGTCGCCCAAAGATGTCCAACTCCGATATTTTGAACTCCAACTTGATTTGGCCGAAGAATTGCGAATGCCACTCTTTCTGCACTCGAGGGCATGCAACGAGGATTTCGAGAGGATTCTTTCAGCACGACTGGACAAGCTTCCCAAGCGTGGACTGGTGCACAGCTTCACCGGCACGGTACCTGAGATGGAGTCACTGTTGAAGCTTGGATTCGACATCGGGATCAACGGCTGCAGCATGAAGACCGGAGAAAACCTCGAGGCGGTCAAGGCTGTCCCTCTAGAAAGACTACAGATTGAGACGGACGGCCCATGGTGCGAGATCAGAGCGTCACATGCATCATCACAGTACCTGAAGGACGGCGGCCCGGCAGTGCCAAAAGCGGTGAAGAAGGAAAAGTGGCAAAAAGGGTTGATGGTCAAGGGACGGAACGAACCAGCTACGATTGTCCAAGTGGCACATGTGATTGCACGGGTAAAAGGTGTCTCGGTGGAAGAAGTATGCGAGGCGGCATGGAAGAACTCGACCGAGATGTTCGTTCTGGGGACTTGTTGAGGTACACTCGACAGTTATCAAGGCCGAGACTTGTTAGCGTCCAAGTATTCGTATCATTGAGGTCATCTGAGCGACTTTCGGGGGAGAGGGAGTTGTACGAGTAAACGAGTAGAATAGAAAGATATGGACACTAGAAGATAGAAGAAGCATTTCGTTTTGCCATCTGTTGTTGTTGTACCTCACGGATCCTGTCGGACGCAGGTGTGTTGTTGTTTAGTGATGAGGGTGGCTTAGTCATTGCCTCTTTAATCCTTGACGCGTAGAGTTGAAGTGACGTGACGTGACGTGATGGGGGCGAGGAGTGTACAAGTCCAATAGGTGCCTGCTATCGTTATCGTATTCGCATTCGTACCATTAAGGTACGGATATCTATGTACAATAGTACGGAGTATTCACCTGAGTTATGTTTCATACTCTGCACTCCGTATATCAGGCAGCAAAGAAGATATTTTTGCTTTGCATCTGGGATTTTCTACCGAGTACTCTTTGGCACGTCAAAGACTCATCCGTCTGCATAACTCTGACTCCCCATATTTTTTACCAAGGCAGCCACTTCAGATCTTCACCCTCGTACTCCGTATTTCCACGTAAAATCAATGAGCACGTGCTTCTCTTCCCGTGTGCCTTGGTCTCATGAAACTCTCTCATGCCACTAAATTCTTTTTTCCTTGTGGCTTCTTTACATTAATTACTATTCGGTACCGACGTCTCTCTCTGTGTGTGTGTCTCGTACGAGCAATTTTCAAAGTCTCCGCGTCGGCTGCTTTCACACTTTCTGATTGATCCATCTCTCTCTCTGTCCCTCATCCATCGAATTTTCTTGTGTTTTTCCCTTTTCCTACTAGTTAGAGCTCTTCCTCGACCTGGTTCGTGTCGTTCAGAAAAACATCTCGCCACGAGACTCACACTCTCGCCGTCTCTTTTTCTCTCACTCTCGCACTGCTGCTCCCGCAGAGCCGCTTTCTCTAAAACACCATGCCTCGAATCACTCTCCAGTGTTGTCGAGACCGTTTCAGGTCGAGATGAACTGTCTCATTCTAAACCTCGACACCAAAACACGAACCTCACACTTTTCCTTGGTCGAAACAATATACATCCTCTTTTACCTCCCCCACAAGTGAGCTTCATTGTCTGGTTCTGCGGCTCGGACGACCATCTTCCTCTCCAGCTGGATCAGCTCTACCGTATCTTCCATCGGTACCATCACTCCATACCGGCAAAATGTTCCTCTAGACGCGTCGAAGACGCTTTTCTTTAAACCTTTCGTCTTCTTGGGTCCAGTTCAGAAACGAACTCTCAGGTCCTCACCACCATCCTCGACACCATCTCCGCCCACACATCCACAAAACTTGTCTCTCGAGGACCTTTTCCCTTCTCATATATATCTCCTTCCAGCCTTCTTTTCGTCGGTCTTGAATTTCCTCCTAACAAAATTCACACATCGTCACCCGAGTCGAAATTCGCCGTAAACCGTCACCTTGATTACAACAAGTTTTCAAACGGCTTCTTACGATAACAAAGAAGCCACCACACCGAAAATGTCGGTCCAAACCCAAGATCTACAGGAAGTGCGTGCCAGTGTGGAAGCTGCTGCGGATTCTCTCGCGGCTCTTGACGTCTCTTCAACCCCCATCAGCAATCAGGACGACAAATCCCAGCCGCCAACCCCAGATGGATCGGGACGCCCAGCCAATTTCCAAGTCATTGCCCCCGGCCTATTCAGATCCAGCTACCCTCTGTACGCCCACTTCGACACCCTGTCGGATCTCGAGTTGAAGACCATCATCACCCTGGTTTCTTCGCCCATCCCGTTCGACTATGCCAACTTCATCACGTCCAACGGCATCACCCACTACCAGATCCCCATCCAGGCCAACAAGGACCCCAAGGTCTACAGCCCGGACGGAACCGTCAACAAGGTGCTGAACCTGATCCTCGACCCGTCCAACTACCCGATGCTCATCCACTGCAACAAGGGCCGCCACCGCACCGGGACCATGGTCGCCTGCTTCCGCAAAGTCACCGGCTGGACCTTGGAGGATTGCATCGAAGAGTACGAACGCTATTCCAAGCCAAAGGACCGGCCCTTGGACAAGATCTTCATCGAACGTTACGACGCCAACACCTTGAAAGCCCTCGCCCTCGAAAGAGGCTACGTCGGCGGCATTTGGCGAGCACCGGTGCGATCCTCCACCAAATCGTCCGTCTACACCAACAATACCCTCGAGACTGCCACCACGAGCGACGACTCCGAGTGCCCCCCGAACGACTACCAAGAGCGGGTCAAGAAAGAGAATGACGCCATCCTCGAATCCGCCAGACGCTGGTCGTACAAGTGACCGTTCCGTCGTTGGCATCAGGTACCGGGTGTACACGACAACAACAACAAACAACAACAACAATTGACATACGAAGAACAACAACAACAACAACATTGCACGGCTGCACCGGATCGATTCATTATCACATCAATCCTTGGCTCTGTCAAACCCAGAGCATCCATCGGAACAGCAGGCCAAATGCGATGAATACAGTAGGGGGGAGGACATGGAGGTAACATCGGAGAGTTGGATCGGTGTGGCCAGAAGAGTTTTGAACACAGAAGGACCAGGGAGTGAACAGCTTCGAGAGACAGAGTATAGTCATGGGTATGGGTGGGTCACGAGAACTGAAAGAAATTCGGTCTGGTTTACCCGCCAGAGAGTGGTTCCTGTCGAACTGAAGCTGGAGAGAGTTCTGCTTGGTCTCGATCGGAAATGCGGTGGCAGCGAGTAAGGAAAGAGGGAAGAAGAAAAGGACAAAGGCATGTTATTTGCATGCTCTTTTGCAGCTCCTTTTCCTTTGGCATTTTTGTATTTTTTTTTGTCTTTTTTTTTGCATCTTGTGAAAGGGCAGGGCAAAGGCTTTGGAAAATGCATCATGCATGACACCTTCCAAAGGTGATGTGGCTTATATTGTGTTTTTTTTTTAAATTTGGCACAACATAGGTACTTGTAAGATACGGGTATAGCCACTTGGGTAGGCAAGTACTTGGGGGCAGGCAATGATCTGTCTCGTGAATGCAAAAGGAAAGAAAATTTCAACTCTGTCCTTGATCTTTTTCTTTTCCTTTTTCTTTTCCTTTTTCTTTTCCTTTTTCTTTTCCTTTTTCTTTTCCTTTTTCTTTTCCTTTTTCTTTTCCTTTTTTTTTAATTTTTTTTTAATTTTTTTTAAACCTTTTTAAACCGAAGCTCTGATATGTACCAAGATACAACAAACCTGTAGACTGGCTAGACCGTCAGAATATCGCTGGACCGTATTATATCACACCTGGTGTTTACTCAGCAGTATCAACCACCCAATCTCGGCGAAAAACAGCATATATCTGTATACATTCCTGAACGCTTCTTGTGTGACACCACTCGAAGCCGGCGTCACATTTACTCTACTCTGTTTATTTCAGGGAACAAAACAAATAAGCTTTCGGCAGGAGCTGGACCTTTATGTTTATATATATTGAATATCATCACAAAGGTGGTCCAAATCGATCACAATCCCTGAGGCATCTTCTCAACACCCTCGAGACATTTTCTCGATCGTTCGTATCTTGCGTCTTCCACAGTCTGCGGACCGTGGCCCAGACTTGTTCGACCTTTTTCCGGTCCCCCGTGCACACCGTGTAGGCGCGCAGTAACCAACATATCAGCGGCCTCGTGGCTTGGACTTGGTGTTTTGACGTTATCGAAATAGGTCTCGTATCTCGCTCGTCTTGCATGTCCTGGTCTTGCATGTCCTGGTCTTGCTCGCGGTCTTCGTATTGGCCGTTATGATCTTGCCCTTCGTAGTGCGGACCCTGATATTCTCCTTCATGTTCACTTCTTTGCTCTTCTAAATGCCCTGATTCATCATGCTGCCGGTGCTGTTGGAAAGCAGGATCGATCACTTGACTAGGCGACGGTAAAACGTATTCGCCTTCTTCTCGATCTAAAGCCGCGTCGCCGAGAGGGTAGTATGTCTCTTGTGTATGTGGAAGCGATTGTTTGGTAGTGTATGAGGAGGATGGCGACGACGACGACTTGAACAATGCCCTTTTCTGTTCTTCTTCCTCATCAAAGAGCTCGGCGTGAACGCGCTCAATGTGTTTGCGGCGTTCTCGAGGAAACACTGCCAGATCTAGAACAAACTCATTCCATGTGCTAAGCTTCTTCATAGGTGTTGGGCGTGTGGGATCAGACGTGTGCTCAGGGGATCGCTCGATTGCCTCGGACGTGGGCAATGTGGCATCGGCATCTCTCGAAAACTTGCCCCTTGAAGCAGCTTGCCCGGCTCGGATGGCGTCTTGACATGCTTTCCAGACCAGATCCAGCCGTTGATTATTCCAGGACGCATCAGGGTCTCGAGTGGCTCCATGCAAGGCAAATCCTTTGAACAACAACTGGAAGAATACGCTCTGCATGGGTAGGTTGAAGAGGGTTTTCATCTCCTCGAGCAAGACTGTGATCCGGTTGAGGTTCCCAGAGACATTGACATGGTGAGAGATCATGGTGCGAAAAGTGACATGATCAGGAGTAAGTGGCATTGCGTCCTGTAGCTGTTGGTGTTGTTCGGGAAGTATATCCTTCAACCTCGACGCCTTCAGCAACACCCTCTTCAGATGATTGGCTGCTAGTTCATGTTCGATCACTTCCCCTCCAGGCAACGGATATCGTCTGTACAAGACAGTCTGACCATCGTCCCGTCTGCCTCGTCGCAGGTTTTCTTGGAGGCTTTTCATGCGTTCATATATCTGCTCCGCAGCAGTTGGCTCTTGTGCGTTGTACAAAGACGCAATCACGCAGTTGAGCACCAGAGTATCAATAATCTCGCCAGCATCTACAAAATCTCGATAAGCTTTTCGTACACCGTCTCCATCGGCTCGCAATCCATGGTAGTAGATGACACTTACGCGACCGAGCCGGTTCAGACGAAGGCCACGGTCATGCATCTCCTTCAACACCATCTGCGCCAGGGGATACTTGTTGGCTCGGACTGCAATATCGAAGAGGATGTTGAGAGTTACATGATGGGACTTGACGCCTGCCTCGTGTTCCATCCGTCTCCATATTCGAAAGGCGGCGTTGACTTCTGATTGAGTGACCTTTGCGAATGATCGTCCAGCTAGGTAGATGGCCGAAGCCCATTCAGCCCTAGTGACTGGTACATCCGCCCTTTGCGCATCGTCAATCAGTGAGAGATACCTGATCATCGACTTTTCGCTCTTTTGCCATGGAGTTGCCATGCGTTGTAAGAAAACCCGTACTATACCTCGGGGCAAGAATGCCATACCAGGCTGCGGTAGCCTTTTGTAGGCTTTGAACAGCTCTGCATTGCTGGAGTGGTTGTCCAGTAGTAAATCAACAAAATCCTGGGTGACACTGACTTCCCGTAGTTGACGTGAAAGCAGTCTTTCCTCGACCTCTTTTAAAGGCGATTTGTAGTCTTCATCATCGTTATAGAACTCCGCAAATGCTTGTGGTGGAGCAAAGTCCTCTGACAACTTGAACGCATAATCCTCCAGCAGCACGGGTGTTGGAGAAGCATCAGGCGACTCGGGGTCGAACCGTCTGTGGTTGGTATAATAGTACAAGTCAACCAATGCCTTGTAATCATCCCTCGACAGAACGACCTCCGGAGGTGGTGGTGCGGGCTCGATTCGAACGGGTGCGTGCTTTGTCGACTCGGCCAGTTTGGACTTCATTTGAGCCAGTTTATTCTCAAGTTTCCTCACAGAGTTTAGAAGTTGCACCTGTTCCTCAAGCTGAGATGCCGACCGCTCTTGCTCCTCCTGCTCATGCTCCTTTTTGTCTGCCTCTTCCCTCACAGGTTCTTGTCTCATTTCGTCCATCTTGTCCTGAAGCACATCCAAATCATGGAAGAACCCCATCGGCAGGCGGCTTTTGGCGGCGAATTCAAAGGTATTATCATCGAAAAAGTCCTTCACACGATTGGCTTGTCTAGGCCGTGCTTGTGCTAATCGAGACGTGGTACTCATGTTTCGACAGCGAGCCTGGAAAGATCTTGCGTCTGCAGGGTGGCGGCTATATGTCCTGTGACCGTCCATCGCTCGGATGGCAGCTCCTCCATTGCCTGAGACGCCCTTTGATTGATCTCGAGAGTTCTTTCTGGCTCGGTGGCAGCTTGTGGCGTGCGCCAATGCGCCGTAGAACATCGACTCGAGCGACTGTGCATCTTGTACTCGCAGGGCCGTTGATACATTACGGGATTGGCGGCAGGTAGTCAGACGGCTCGACGGGAAAAGGAAATCGCAAAAGGCTAGAGGAGACGTCGAGGTCGTATTCTGAATGCTTCTGCACCCTGCAAACTTCGAAGGCCGGTGCATATGACCGCAGGCATATTCTCACCGAAGGTCCCTACGGAGGCGAGAAGAGCCTTGGATGTAGGGGTGTTCGTCGAGGGAATGAGATTCAGGGCGTTCTTTGTGCTGTGTAGTCGTAGTAAGACAGACCTCCGTCTCATGGTCGGCAGAGTGGAAAATACATAATATGGAATGGGCATCCTCTTAGCGCGACTTTTTCGCCGCAGCCCTTTCGGAGCTTTCGAATTATTTCGACTTGCTCAAGCAAGACAGAGCATCAAACCCCCTACCACGTTTCCGCCCGTCTACATACAATGCGATAACCAAAGGTCAGATCTGCCCAGCAAGCCTAATTGAAATCTTTCTCCTCTTCTATCAGCTTCCCACCACCTCCCTGTCCGCGATGGGCCGCCTGGACCTCACGGCGATCAACGTCCGCAAAACAGTCCTCCAGAACATCGCATCCGGCAGAATATCAACGACGCCGATCTGGACGGACGTCGTTCGCGACGTCCCTCCGGCACAGATACTGATCCGGCAACAACCTCAAAAACACCGATTGACGAGAGTCCGCACGCGAACGCTGCCCAACGGGAGGACCGAGCAATACGCACAAGTGACGGAACCGAAAAAGGCCAGGTCGACCAAGACGCAAAATTTGTTTACGCCGCGACACCTCCGGTACGAGGAAGATGAACTACGAAAAAGCTTCTTCAACGACCACCCTTGGGAGCTGGCCCGGCCGCGGGTCGTACTGGAAACGTCCGGGGACCAGTACAGGAATGCGGACTGGTCGAAGGGGGTCCAGCAGCCGGGGATAGCACTGTCGGGAGAGTCGGTGGTCCAGAGGCAGCTCTGGTTGCTCGAGAACGTGCCCGACATCACCGTCCCTCAGGCCTACGACGTTGCCCGAAAAGAGTTTTACGCCCTGCGACGGTCGGAGGAGATTAGGAACAGAATCGCGGCGGAAGAGGCGAGACACATGGGCGCCAGGTTCGGCAAGTCCGCCATCCAGGTCAGCATGGGCATCGAGAACGACATGTACAACGACTGGGACGCGTGGGCGCGGCAGATGGTCAACGAGCAGACTCAACGTCTGGCGGCCTTTTCGGGGACCGTCATGGCCTCGGAGGAGGACGCATTGAGAGACGTCAACAAGGCTGAAGAACAACGTCCTCCAGCGGCACCGATCGGCGCCGGTGTGTTTGCTCAACAACAGAAAACGGACGCCAGGGCGCAAAGGAACGATGCTGCATGATTCCTGGAGGTACATTTTTGGCCTGCCCAATCAAGTTTGGGGCTACAATTGTACTGCGTAAATGTGTATTCAAACAACTAAAGCTCCAAGGAGGACGGGCATTTCAATATGAGAGCTTGTTTTATTATGATACCAAAAACGAAACCTGGACACTTTTGACATTATCCTCCCCTCATAAAAGAAGTCCGTGTTGCGTGAAAAGGAGAAAATAAAACAAGGTCTCTGAGACACCGATTTCTATCTCTATTTGTGTTACAACGTAGTAACAATTTACATAGACCCAGTTGTCGTGTCAAGGAAAATTTATTCGAGCAACTTTTGAATCCTAGAAATCTGTTCCTCGACGCTCTTTTTGCTCGTCCCACCCAGGACCGTCCTCTTCTCGACGCTGGCCTCGTAGTTGAAGGCGCCCATGACGTCGTCGCCGAACCTGGGGTCGACGCCCTGCAGCTGTTTCAGACTCAGTCGGTCCATGGGCTTGCCCTCCTTCTCGGCCAGGGCGACGACGCGGCCGCTGATGTGGTGGGTCTCGCGGAAGGGGACGCCCTTGCGGACCAGGTAGTCGGCCAGGTCGGTGGCGAGCATGTCCGGAGTGAGGGCGGCCTTCATCTTGTCAGGGAAGATGGAGAGGGTCGACAGGACCCCGGTGGCGATCTGGATCGAATCGGCCGTGGTCTTGACGCCGTCGAGCATGGGCTCGAACGACTCCTGGAGGTCCTTGTTGTAGGTCGAAGGGAGGCCCTTGACGCTCATCATCAGGCCCGCCATGTAGCCGAACACGCGGCCGCTCTTGCCCCGGAGCAGCTCCAGCGAGTCCGGGTTCTTCTTCTGGGGCATCAGGCTGCTGCCCGTCGAGTAGGCGTCGGCGAGCCGGACGAACCCAAACTCGGCCGTCGAGTAGATGATCAGGTCCTCGGCCCAGCGCGAGATGTGCTGCATGAGAGTCGCGGCCCACTGGAGCGTCTCGACGACGAAGTCCCGGTCGGCCACGGCGGCCATCGAGTTGTTGATGATGCCCTCGAACCCCAGCTCCCTCGCCATGGCCTCGCGGTCGATGCCGAACGGGTTGCCCACCAGCGCGCCCGACCCCAACGGGGACCTGTTGACGCGCTTGATCACCTCCCTCAACCGCTCGAGGTCCGACGTGAAGACGCTCCCGTAACTCAGGAGCCAGTGCGACCAGCGGATGGGCTGCGCCCGTTGGAGGTGAGTGTACCCCGGCATCAAGGCGGAGATTTCGGACTGGGCGCGAGACGTCGTCACGCGGAGCAGAGAGACGAGGTGTCGTTCCATCTCCCTCAGCTGGTCGCGCAGCCACAGCCTCATGCCCGTGCCGACCTGGTCGTTGCGGCTTCGTCCCGTGTGCAGCTTGCCCGCGATCTGCGTGCCGATGATCTCGCCCAGCCGCCGCTCGTTGGCCGTGTGGATGTCCTCGTCGACGCCGGGCTTGATCTCGAACTTGCCACTCTCCCACTCCGAGAGGACCTCCCCGAACCCCTTTTCGATCGCGAGGAATTCGTCCTGGGTCAAGATGCCGATCTTGGCGTTGGCGCGGGCGTATGCTATGCTCCCTCGGATGTCCTGGGCGTAGATGGCCCGGTCAAAGTAGATGGACTCGTTGTACGACACCATCAGAGGGTCGAGGCCGCCGGTGAAGCGACCCCCCCATAGCATGTTGGCGTTGGGTTTGGATTCCGACATGGCTGTTTGATGTTGTTGGTCTGGAGATATGGGGTGAGAGTCTGTGGAGAATGTAGCTCAAAAACTTTTTTGAACTCCCCAGATTAGACGTTCTAATCTCAATGATAAGCGACGAGACCTTTGGGGGGCAGAGAGAATGCGACGATGGAGCTATGCACCAGATAGACTGGTACTTCGAGAATGGAACATTTGTTACTGAGTCATTTGCCGTTTACTTTTATCTAGCGACGAGCAAAAAGTTCCCCATCGACGCCCGGATAACTTGCCTGTCTGGGGTGACCACTTTAGGTTAGTTGTCTCTATCCGATAGGAATAAGTAGCATCGCCTAACGTTACAGACACTAATACGGATACTTGTACAATCGTCTTCTACTTGCTTCAAAGCCCTCTGGAAGATATATCCAGACTTATATAGAGTAATATAATGCTTGGCCATGAATCTGAGGCCAGCCGGAGCATCGGTATGATCCTAGTCAAGCAAAGAAAGAAAGACAAGTGTCAGTTGTACATTGAATGTGTTCAAAAATCCATTTTGGATACTCGAAAGAGCTCAAATATGGTACAAAAGTTTAAATTTATTTCTTCTCCTTGGGGGCCAACATCAGTTCTGGTCGGACATATTTGTCAAAGTCTTCAGACGAGAGCGCCTTCAATTCCATAGCCGACTCCTTGAGTGTCAAACCCTTCTTGTGAGCGTTCTTGGCCACCTTGGAAGCCATGTCGTAACCGATGACTGGATTGAGACAGGTGACAAGCATAAGACTGCGAACAAATTAATATTAACTTCGAAATCAATAGTACGTCAGAGTCATACCTTTCGTGCAGCAAAGTACCAATTCTCTTCTCATCGGCCTGTAGTCCTTCCACCAAGTGTTCTACAAATCCGTTCATGGCATCGGACAGAATTCTCGAGCTGTGAAGGAGGTTTCGGATCATAAGGGGCTTGAAGACGTTCAGCTCAAATTGACCACTGAGACCTCCAACGGTGGCAGCCGTGTGGTTACCCATGACCTGTGCAGCCACCATAGTCATAGCTTCACACTGGGTTGGGTTGACCTTCCCGGGCATGATACTGCTGCCGGGTTCGTTCTCGGGTAGAACCAACTCGCCGAGACCGCAGCGAGGGCCGGAGCCAAGGTATCTGATATCGTTGGCAATCTTGAAGAGACTGACGGCAAGAGTGTTGAGGGTTCCAGAAGCCTCGACGATGCTGTCATGAGCGGCCAGAACCTCGAACTTGTTGGGAGCAGTGATGAACTCAGTGCCAGTCATCTTGGTGACCTCTTCGGCTATTCCTTCCGCAAAGCCCTTGAAGGTGTTGAGCCCAGTACCGACGGCCGTACCACCTTGAGCTAGTTGCCGGAGGTGTGGTAGAGATGCCTGAATTCGTTCCAGGTTTCGATCAAGCTGGGCGACGTAACCACTGAACTCCTGTCCCAAAGTCAAGGGAGTGGCATCCTGCAAATGCGTTCGACCGATCTTGATGATCTTGTCAAATGCCTCCACTTTCTTTTGTAGAGCATCTCGCAGGTTGGTAAGAGCCGGGATCAGTCTTTGTTCGAAGTCGAGGACAGCCGCGATGTGCATGACGGTCGGGAAGGAGTCGTTCGAGCTGGCAGACATATTGACATGGTCATTGGGGTGGACAGGCTTCTTGCTGCCCATCTGTCCGCCGAGGATCTCAATGGCACGGTTAGAGATGACTTCGTTAGCATTCATATTGGACTGGGTGCCGGAGCCGGTTTGCCAAACGACGAGAGGGAAGTGGTCAATCAGCTTGAGCGCAGCCACCTCGGCGGCAGCTTGTTGAATGGCTTCTCCAACCTTGGGATCTAGGAAGGCTTGTCAACCCTGTGTACTGAGAATATACAGCTCGGGCTACTTACCGAGTCCATAGCGCATGTTCACCGTAGCAGCTGCACCCTTGAGGATACCGAAAGCTCGCACGACACCCTCCGGCATGCGGTCTTGTGGCTGATTGATCTTGAAGTTCCCCAGAGACCGCTGCGTCTGTGCACCCCAGTATTTATCTGAAGGTACCTCGATAGGTCCGAAGGCATCCGTCTCCGTTCTCGTAGAAGCCGCCATGTTTCTCGTTGTGCTGAACGTCCGGTAGGAGCTTGGGGAGGTGCTAAAGGTCGCCGGAGAAGGTCTTCGAGAGGCTTGCGAAGGATAAGAGCAGGAAAGTCTTTGGGCCGGTATTCTCAAGCTTTGGCTACTCCGCACTGCTTTAGATGCATGTGACAAGGAGGATTTTGCTGAAGTCGGAGTCTTGACCGAGGATGAAAGTCGGCCGAGCATCATGGCGAAGAGGACGAATAAATAGAGGAAAAGACTACCACAAGACGCAGAAAGAAGTTAGATCTATGTAGGGCAAACTATTTCTCGCGATCGTCAAAAACATTGAAATGCGCTGAGTAGAGGAAATGGGCGAGAGAAAGCCATGGACCTCTCCATTGGTTCCCTGCCGGCCCCGATCCGATAAAGCTGGAGCTCCAGAAAAATATTATGTAGTCGTCGGCAAATATCGCGACAACAGGGGGCAGAAGCATGAATAAGCACCCTCTGTCATTCCTGATTCTCCCGGTGCTGGTCATGTCTCTGGACCATGTATTTCAAGGTGTACTACAGTAATAAAAGTGAGAAAGATTTTGGGAGCTCCGGAATCTAATGGTATGATGCCCGATTATAAACAGCTTCTATGCAACTATCAAACGCTCAAAGTCCTCCCTGCAGGTCTGCCTTTCGCACCCGCTGACAAGACTGGGTATCTCTATACAAAATCAAAGCCAAAGTTCTCGACATGCTACACTGACGATATAGATCAGGCGTTGCCCTCAATTGTCTGAGCAGCCTTGCCAATCATGAAATCCTTGGCTTTGGCCATCTTCACCATGAAACTGGGCAGTTTGTAGCCGAATGCAATACCAACACCGCCCTGCGAGCCAATTGGCACGAACTGCATGTCACTTGTGATCTTCTTGTATACCTTCTTGGTCCGAGGGCCGGGAGCTGGGAAAATGGATCAGCGCATGTTTAAAAGTTATGGATAGGTGGAACTTACTCGCTCCTGACAGATCCGATCTGAGGGTTTCCAAGAAAGCATTCTTTGCGAAGCCAATGTCGAAGGCAGCGCCATCGGAATAGCTAGCGACGGCGCCAAAACTGTAGACACCAGTGACACCAGGAACGTCCAGACGAAGTGTGTGAGGATCAGTCTTGACCTGGTTGCGATCGTTGAGCCACTCCTGAGGGACAAACTTGCTGTTTGGCTTGTCGCCTGTGGCTTCAATGTAGATGTCGACCGTCTTGGTCTCGCCGTTGCTCAGCTTCAAGACATCCTTGCCGTCTTCCTTGGTGTGCTCGACAACTTTGACATTGTCGTTGATGACTTTGACACCCATTTTCTCAAGTCGCTGTTGAGCATCGGTGCCCATCTTCTTGTTGTGAAGCCTAGGCAACAAGCTGGTGCTGCCCGAGAGAATTGTGATCTCCTTCGTCTTTCCGTACGTCTCGCCAAACTCGCCGGCGGTCTCAACACCAGCAGCACCACCGCCCGCGATCAATATCGTCTTCGCACTTGGGATCTTCTCGTGGACGTCGTTCAGGGCAGCTTTGAGGGCTTCTGAACCGTCTGTGACTGTCCAGAGGGGAGTGTTGAAGTTGGTGCCAGAGGCAATGACGAGTGAATCGTAGTGGAGGGCAGCAGAGGTACTCGTGTGGACGGTCTTGGTCGCAGGATCGATTGAGGTGACATACGCCTTGACGAACTCGTACTGTTCAGGCCCGTAGCTCTTGAAGTAGGGAGCGATTGGCAGCAGCGCCTTTTCGAGAGGCAGAGATTCGGGGTTGGCGATGACTCGGGGGGCACCAATCTTCCAGTAGAACTCCTCGTTGGGAGCAACTTGGACGACCTTGTACTTGTCCTTCCCACCCAAAGAAGGAATAACAGTCTTCAACAGACCCTGAGCCGCAGTGAGGCCGGCGAAGGAGGCGCCGATGATGACGATCGTGTGGGTAGACATGGTGTTGTTGGGGGTTGGAGAGAAGACGGACGGGTCAAGATGAAATTAAACAACTAAGAAGAATTGAACGTAGACACGGTGTAAGGAGTATGTATAGGACAATGGAATGAAACCCTCAGGTGAGAAAAGTGCAGGGCTGACTTTTTTGAGGATTGGTTAGGGGTGGAGCCTCGTTGATTGTCGTCTGTTGTTATGGTTTCGGGCACCGGGGATTGTTTTGTGGTGGAAGCAATAAAGTATTACGAGGTCTCCGTGTCCGTATTCGTATGTTGTAAGACGCGGCCACAGGGGGTCAACTTCTTATTATATATCCCTGGCGGCCTTACTCCGTACCTGAGGAATCTCGTCTGGTCTTCTGCTGCTTGTCTACGCCCACTACTTTGCTTTCTGCCTATCCTCCCGCTTACAAAACCATTGCGCTGATGATTGAAAATTTTCGCAATTTCGTTGGCAAGCCAATATTCCACGCGCCCCTTGGGACGCGATTGCGACCCGCGTTTGATTGGCTGAGATGGTCCGTAGCCTTGGATTTGATGCTCCAGGTCACGTGCAGTGTCCTCGGAGTCGTGTAGTCCAGTGTATTTCTCGGGCGAGACATCTGTCCAAGGGTAAATGGACCATGACCGTGCCCACCACATTTAGTAATCCAGGTTTTCGCCTACTATACTACTTCTCTGCTCGCAAATAGCGCCGATCGGTGCGTGGGTTCTCTTGCCTCAGTCGAGAACACCTTCTGACCATCGTTCTGATTGTTTCGATGGACAGAGCGTTCGGAATATTGCCTTACCTAATCGGAAACAAAAAACTCATAGAAAGCCGAGATGAATGGCAGAAGCTTAATAGGTAGTTAGGACTTTTAATCGGCGACCTGCTTCTGGAGGGATAAATGTACAAGCATATTTGATTATGCTACATTGCATAGTCAACGAAAACAACTAGGGTATCTCTCATAAGGAACTATATTACATGTCATGCCACTCTCCACTTCCACTTCCCCTCGATAGCTCATGTGTCACAATAGTATACTCGGTACAGACTCAATCCCCTATGGATGAGGGACCCAGCCAACAGTCTTGCGCCATCCATGGAATGGTCTTGTCTTCTTGGGTGCGCTCTCAGATTCGGACGCGGATGATTCGCCCTCAACACTGTGTCGTGGCTCTTCGACGGGAGCGGGAGCGGCATCGGTTGTTGCGCTGTCGTTCTCGGGCAGAGCGGCAGAATTCTTCCTTGACTCAAGTCCTTCGGCAACGATGCTGTGACGGCGGGTGGACTTGCTCTCGCGGCGACCATCTCTGGTCAGGTGTTTGCGGTAGAACTCGGAATGTTTGATGAGCCAAGGTTCGAGCCACGATTCCGCAGCATATGGATTCGTCCTGCTGGTACCAGCGGGCTGGTCCATGGCCATGCCATTGAATCCTTCGGCCATGTCGACAGATTGATATGTGATGGTTGCGAGTTGGTTTTGCGATTGGGATTGTCTAGTGAGGGTTGAATATCGTTGAGGTTTGATTGGTCGTTATATATCACTGACGGTATCTAAAGATGTCTTCGTGAGAAGGGAAAGAGGCGGATTTTTCAGGCATACTTATGCTGTTCGGCTGATGACCATAAGACACACGACGCCGTCAAAAAAAGGCCTCAATGACGTCGACTTTGATTCTATGCGTCGCCGACTCGGATTCTATTCGCGTGTTCAGATGGTCCCGAAATCCGGTGAGTCCGGGGTATGGTAAGCATGATCTGCAGGTAGGGCCAGTGAGGGAACTGTAAACATGCATACGCAAGGCTGGAACGCCGAGGCTGCGGCCGTAGAAAGTCCTAGATGGCGCAATGTTGTGCACAAGGGTCCTGGAATAAGCTGCTCAAACCCTCGACGGAAGTGTTCGGATGCGTGGCCAGTAGGAGGTTTGCTGAGTCTCAGGAAGATTCCGAGCCTATTCACCATACACTGCGATGATGAAAAAATGCCGCAACGTGCATTGACGATATACTTCGTGATGCTCACGCAGGATTGCGTGTCGGATGTAATCCATCGATTGAAGTCTTGTGATGACTTACCTGCTGGCTCTTGCAACATCATCAAGACAGCCCGTTCCGAATCATCTAGCATTTACAAAGCAAAAGAAGTTGCGCCTTGGAAATCACTTCTCACCAGCGTCTTTTGCTTCAGATCAAGGTTCTAGCTGAGACAGAGTCTTGCGCTCTCTTGATGCGTCTGTGTGTCTGCTGAGGGGATGCAAGGGAGAATGTTATTGAATGCGTGGAAATCGAAAATGTCGCGAGGCTGACCATGACATCATACCATCTGGAAATCCACGCTTGCCCCCTTTCGGTGTCTGCACAATTTCAAAAGACTCTGAGCCTTTTTTTCTGTTTGATATTGCCAATGCTCTGGAGCATACGGAGTTCTCTGTACGATTACGAGTTCCATCGAGTGTTTGTTTCGGTTTTGCCTAATGTTATCCCTTGTTTCTAGTTTGACGTAATTGTCTCTCTTTTCCCCGGACCTCAAGAGCAACCCCCCATGTCAGTTAATGATGCTGATGATGAAGATGCTCGACAACCGCTGTCGAGAGCGAATGGCCTCGTCCTGGTTATGAACACTCCTAAAGGTGGGTTAGTTACTATATCCCAAGATGAGTTGCACACGTCTATAAGCATCCCCTTATCTGCAATGAGGCATCTCGCTCCCATTCTCAATCGAAAGTTGTGATTTATACTGGCATTCTTGCTTTGGACGCCCATCCACTACACCTGACCCAACTTGGCTATAAGGAAAAAGATGCACCCTGACAAATATCTCTTTTTTCCGATCATCATCTAGGTCGAGGAGTTTTCGCAACCCAAGACATATCCAGGTCCACCGTCATAGATGTATCTCCGGTTCTAGTTTTCAGTCAAGAGGAAGTTGAAAAGCACACCCAACATACATGCTTACAACACTACACTTAGTAAGTTCCGCATATTATACTGTACTCCCGGGGGGGGTTTTTAAACGGGCCCGAACAGATATCCCCATGGTGTATCATCATCAGATCAGGCCCACAGTGCTTACTTCTCTGACCTTTGTTTTTCAGCTACTGGCCTTCCAAATCTGGCAAGACAACTACCCAAGCCCTGGCTCTCGGACTCGGCTCCATGTTTAACCATTCCACCCGGGCTCAGAATGTCGGTTGGAAGCGCAATTTTGAGACCGAGGTGATTGTTTACACGGCCCTTCGAGACATCAAGGCCGGAGAAGAGTTGTGTATATCTTATGGTCACGCTAGGTTATGGTTCGAGGATGCCGACGCCAACAACAACGACGACGACGAAACCGATTCGAACGACGACAAAGATTTGGCGGAGATCGAACTAAGTGGGCTGGGAAGGATGGAACTATAGTAAACACCCAGTTTACTCGAGGTTCTCAAGGTCCATAAATACGTGCAGCATCGAACTGTTGCTTCGCCTTTCTATGGACATGACTCGGGTTGGCGACGAGAACGAGTTGCCACTATCGAGGTATAGCACATCACTCTGGCCTGAGCAAGGAGCAAAGGATCAGATCTTTCAAATCCCCATACGGGCCGGCCGACGGATCAACATTTCCTCCGGTTCACGCTTTGACTTGACTTTGAGGGACCCTAAAACGTCTACTTATTACATCTTATTGCATGGGGCGGGTGGGGCTATAGAGGCAATGACTGTACCATGGCTTCCCCGGGGATTCGGGGCTTATCATGGTTGTGGTTGTCTCTTTTTTTGAACCCCGGGGTCGATGAGTAAACAAATATTTATTTCGTTTCCTCGACCCTTTTTTTGCTTGGAAAAGCCGAGGACATACGGAGTACCTATATAAAGGTTGCCTGCCTGTACCGAATACGAACGAGTACATATCATTCACCGTTATGTTTCCATTTCCCCATCCCCCCCTCTCTTTTCTACTGTAAGACCAAACGTCTGTGGCTTGCCTTCCCGAACACGAATACGAACGGAAAAAAATGAGGCGTTCCGGGGAACAAATGATTCGCTTTGGGGTCAGCTCAGCTACAGGTTGACCGCCCACAAAAAGACCAAGACGACATACCAAGACGGCTTTCTCAAAAGTTCCGTTTTACCAAATGAGTGGTTGGGAATGAAACTTTACGTCGAATACGAAACCGTCCGACACACACACATCTCACGTACTCGTATCCACACATTGCAGGCAGTGACCAGGACATGGGTATGTGAGCCACGGGAACAAGAAAATGTTTGTTTAGACGACAAATTTTTTTTTTTTTGGTTTGAAACAATATTTTCGATTCTTCCCACACGCGGATATGTATAAGTATCAGCATCATCATGTGTGTCTGTACCTATATAGGTACACACAAGATGCCACACCACGGCACTCACTCTCGGGTCCTCCAAACGTTGTAAATCAACCATGGCCCACTTTCCCGTTTTGACGGTTCTTTTCCGAACTCGCTCGACGGTGGGATACGACGAGAGGATTTGGTCGGTCGGTCAGCAACACATAAAGGTCGTGCCTCCACCAGCACCACCACCTCGACCCGCCGAACCGACACAAACCCTCCCTAAAAGAGGGCATGGTTTCCTCGGAAGACCAAAAACTTTCCCTTAATGCATCACAACAGCGACATGGTCATCCATGTACTTGTCGATATTGCCCAAAAAGATACTGGATATGATGGCGATACCACCGAATGCGATACTGGTCAAATACACATACTTGTAACTCTCGGCGTAGGCGATTTGGCCAGCAAGCACAACCATTTCGTACGCGGTCTCGTTGCCGGCGATACCGGGAATTTCCTTGATGCCTTCGAGCAGACTGGCGCCCGTGAGCTGGATGACCTCGGTGATGTAGGTCTCGTTGGTGATGCCCAACTCCAACGCCATGGTGCCGCCGATGTACTTGACGGCGTTGGGGACGAACTTGTTGATAAAGACGTTGTAGTAAACCGTGTAACCGATGCACCCGCCGATCACGCGGATCGAGAGAGTCAGGGCCGCCACCGTCGCGATGATGTCGTCGGGACAGATGATGGTCGTCATGATACTCGCGGGGACCACGATGCCGCCGATGCCCAAGCCGCCCAGGACCAAGAGACCCCAGAGGGTGTTGAGGTTGAACCGGGTGCCGCATGCCAACGCGCCGCATCCCGCGGTCATGAGAACGGACGAGAAGATCATGAGTTCGCGGTTGTGGCCCCGGAACACGGACAACAGCCACAAGACGATGCAGGCGCCCGCGAGGATGCTGAAACCGATGGGGATACCACGGATGCCGACACCGACGGGGTCGTGGCCGTAGACGTTGAACGCCTGCGTCGGCCAGAACATGATGACGCTGAAGAAGTTGGCGCCTGAGATGGCGGTGATGATTAAAGTGAGTGTCAGGATACGGGCTTCTTGCTTCATGCGCGAAGGAAACATGGGGAACTTGGCGAACTTGATCTCCCAGATCGGGAACAGAATGAAGAGGAAAACGGCGCCAATGATCAACGGCGCCAGCACGTGGGCGTGGCTCCATTTGTACTGGTATCCTCCCCACTGGAGACCGGCGAGGAAGAGAATCATGCCGATGATGGAGAGACCGCCGCCGACAAAGTCGATTTCGCCAATGATTTCCTTCCTGCTGAGGCCACGGCTGTTGGGGCGGGGAGGTGGGAAGTAGAAGAGGAGAGTCCCCCCGAAGCCGACGCATGCCCAGATGCCGCAGAGCAGCGTGCAATAGCGCCAGCCGGCGTGGGACGCGATGAGTTGGGCCCAGAGCACGGACGGGCAGAATGGGATGATGGTGAACACCAGGATGGCGACGTATTTGCCTCTTTTACGGGTCGGCGCCAGTTCCGAGGTGACGGCCAGAGAGGTGAGTTCGCAAATGCCAGCGCCAACGCCGGAGAAAGCCATGCCCACTGTGCGCGTACATCACATGTCAGAAGGTCTGGAAAGCGCAATTTCAAGAGGTTGACTTGTGGCAACGCGGCAACAGTGAAAGTATAGGTAAATTTGAGGGGAGCTGACTCACTGATAAAGACGTTCATGGTATGTGCCGTCCCGCAGATGATCATGGCGATAATGAGCAGGGTCGAGCCCCCAAGGGCGACATAACGTCTGCCGATGAGGTCTGAGATGGACCCGACAAAGGGACAAATGGCAGCCAAGGCGAGGAGGTAGGCCAGGACGAACCAAATCCATCGATCGACACCACCGATATCACCGTAAATGTACGGCGGGATGCCACCGAGGATGTACACGGGGATTTGAGAACCGGTCCAGAGGAAAGCCATGGCGACGAGACTCATGATTCTCTTGAACGTCATCTAGGTCTTCTTGTCAGGACACAACGGTGATCGAACAACTGGCTTAGGGAATGGCCACTTACAGGAGGCTCATGATCGTGGTCCTCGTCGTCGCCGTACGTGCGCAGGCCATCCTTTTCATAATAGCCTGGATGTCCCGGGACTCTTTCATTGGTATGGATCTGTTCGATATGCGACGCCGGGTCCTTGTCCACGACGGGAGGCGAAGCATGGTCGCTGGAGCTATCGTCGTGTTGCGTGGCCATGTTGGGCAAAACGAGGAACAACGAGCTACCGAGAAAGTGGTTCACAAAGGTCTTCGGTGACCACGATCCTCTGCTAACGAGAGCGCGCGAGAGACACGGCTTTCTTTTTCGGTTTGGCTGGCCAGCAGATGGATGCGAAAGAGCAGAAGAAGTAGTGGTAAGGGATGTGAATCGAGAGAGATGGGAAAGGGGAATGGAAATGGAGAACGGAGGTGTGAGAATCTGGGGGAGAGAGGGATTGATAGATGTACTTGCCGAAGAGGCAGAAATGGTCAGAAAGATCGACTCAGGATGGATTCATGCTTTTGAAGTTAGTTTCTGTGTGGTGCGAGTGTAGATAAGTCTGGTACTCGGTGGGTGGTTGGACGACTACTTCGTACGGCGTCGCCCCGTGGGGAGGAGGCGGCGCCAGGTCGAGAACCTCAATTCAGCCAGTTGGGTGATTTGAGTGACCAGTGGAGTGGATTTGGGGCCCCCGTCGTGGTTCGGGCGAGTCTAACGAGTTACCAGACGAGGAAGCGAGAAACGTAACAGTCAATGTGGCGATCAGACCAGGGATGAGGCACGTAGATTATCTTCGTAGCAGTGTGTGGGAGCCATGGCCATCAATCATGATTGCATCCAGTAGATAACTCCGTAATGAGCGTATCCGTTTCGAACTAGTTGATCCTCCCGACCAAGTGTATTCGCTGATGTGCGGGCTACTCGAAAACCATCAACGCTTCCCCCCGCATCGGTGGGTGGAGGCGAAGGAGAGAGGGCGAGAGAGAGAAAGGAGGGAGGGCGGATACTCACTCGTACCACACTACCTACCAAATGGTTCATTGACCAGTACTCCGTAAGGGCGTGTCGGAATTAAATCAAAGACCTAATGTGAAATGGATGGGACGGGGCGTGATTGTCGTGGCCAGCACTACTGTGACTTACTCCGTAAACGATGCATTCTTTGCGAGCCACGTTCCTACTCGAGCCTAAAGAGACCAGGGGGCTCATTATTGAACCAACGATATCAACAAGGGATTTTGATTGAGTCTTCTGTGAAAGCTGGGGTGGTGCGAATGGCAATCTGCAGATTAACGTACTCATCTGGTCAAATGACACTTGTATCAATCGTATGCGAATTGTTCACACAATGTGTATACCTAGTCGAACCTATCTCAGGTGATCAATTGAGCGTGTTGCACCCTTGAAATGACACCTGTCTAAAGAATGTCCGCTACCAAGCAATAGCTTAGGGAGGTCAAGCCTATCCGCGCATGGGGTACAACGGCCCAAGTACCTACCTAACCCATAAGTTTTACGGGGTACGGAGTTCTGAGCCTATAGGCTTCCCCGGGTTACCCAGTAGATCTACGGAGGGCATTTGTCACCGCCTGATCTGACGGTCGCTGGGGGGGTTCAACGACGGTGACTCGGATGGCGTGGGATCGAAAGCCGAGAATCAATACTCCGCTCAATGCCTAATGCTTTTTGTGTAACTTGTACAAAGTTTCAATATCTAATTCTACGAGAGCACGGTAGTGTACATGCGGTGCATCCCGTGCATACTCGTCCAAGAGGTGGTCGCTGACAGCCACGGACTCCCCGGAATCTAAAAGGAGCCAACACCAAGTTTAGGGCGCTAGGACCACGGTCAAAAAGCAAATTCCAAGGCTGGACTCAGGTAAAGGGTGCGGTGCAAGTCCCTCTTCGATATCTCGGGTATTGACATCTGGTGTCCGTCCATGCAATATTGATCCACTTCTCCGCAGAACACTTGGACAGTTGCCGGTAACTCGTACCTAAACCAGTCCCTTAGCCGGCAGGATACCGAGGCATCCCATCCAGCCACGACATGAGGACACAATAAACCGTAGGGATCTGGACAATTGATGGTGATAGGTGCAATGTTTACCCCTGTAGTCGTCTAGGGCCCAGGAATCTGGTTGTCAAGGTTCAACAGTAGAGTTCCGGAGCCTGTAAATGTAACAGTAGAGCGCACCGGGATTCGATCGAGTTGTGACAATGCCGTGCCCTCGATATGTCTGATCAATGCTGACTCGCTCGACTGCGTCAGATGTCTCTAAAGATGAGTCCGGTTGGCAAATATGCTTTTCACAATCCATCCATACCATGTGGACACACACCACGTCTGGCCTGACAGCCCGGTATCGTTTTCCACATAGGGGTAATCTTCCGTGGTGTATGCCCTCATGAGAAGCTAAAAGAAACGTGGAGGACTTCATGTTCCTCGGCTCTTTTCATGCACGTCGGGAAAAGATTCGTTTATCGTGCCATGCCCTCGACCACGATCTCTCCACGACTCCGCATCCACCGCCTGAGTCGTCCATTTTTACCACCGGCATTATCACATCTTTATCATGTCCGGTCAATGCTCAAACACATCAATCCCTCCAGGTCGAGCGTACAAGGCGACGTACAGCACAGGAGAGTGCTAGTCGATCACTGTTTTTGGGTTGAGCGTTGGCTATCACTCGACCGCTGTTTCAGTGTGGATCGGCGTAAATGTTCTGGACATGGCGGAGGGAGATCTCAAAGGTCTTAGATCATGCTGAGCAATCTGACACTCTAGTCATTAAGTCTTCGTTGCGCTTGTGTCCGACCACAGTGGCGAGTACCAGTCTCTCATTGCTTACTGTGCAAACTCTGTAAGTTCCAGCCAACATTGCACTCCTTCGCAATGGAGTCTAGAACTTAGAACAGCGGAGGATTGCGCGTAGTATCCTCGAATGCATTCGCCGCCGGGACTGCGACATCCATTTCACCAAACGCATGTATGTTGGGAATAGCTTTCAGGCTTTGTCTGTCAAACATGGAAGCACCAGCTATCGTTTGCGCATTGCCAGATTGCTCGCCCTGCTCAGGTTTCCCTTGCCAGTTGCTCGCTACCTCGACGCTTATCGGCCCATCCAAGTACATCAGTATCGGCGTTACGTGCACTGATTTATGGTGTTCTTTGACACTAGGCTGCACAATTGTTGGAGGAACGAAGATGCTATACACGTCGCCGGGCCGCATTGGTCTGAAGAAAGAAACATTGCTGAACTGAGCAGTCGCAGGTCCAAGTTCCGGGTGATGCATTTGAAGGTGCTGTTGGACGCTTTCGTGCAGGAGAGACATCGTCATACCGCCGTGAATCTAGAGAGTCATATTAGCAAGCTGTGTAACAACGATTCGCGGCCAAACATGTCCTACCGTGTCAGGCCAACCCTCTACGCCGAAACCCAGAAAGAATACCATCATGGTTATAGGCTGCGAAGGATGTTTGAAGACCTTCATTGTTACACCGCGTGTGCCTGTAAGCTTCTCGCCTACCAGGTGTTCACCCCTGACGGCGCCATTCGAGCGGCTCGCATAGAAGTTCTCTTCGGTCCAATTCTGCTCACGTAGACCCTCGACCAGAGGGTGCACCTCGAGTGTCTCCTTTATTTCCTCGCATAACTCTTGATCCTCTTCAGAGCCAGGCTCGAAGGGTGGTTGCAGGTACTCCCAGCTGATCAAAGCTGTGCCTGCGATTGCGCCGAGGGTGAAGAAGAGATCCGCCCAGAACACCGATCTGGCGAAGCGCCAGAAGAGTGAGGGCCCTGTGGGAGTTTTGACAATTTGTGGGGTGTATGCTCCTGTGTACGGTGTCGTGTCGGGGGCAGGCATTTGTCCTGGAGTCTGGAAGTATTCTTTATGAGGACCATGTTGGCCGTGTTGTCCTCGACGCTGCCACGGCGAACGTCGAGATGCCCGGCAAGCCTGACGCCAAAGCGCCGGCCGTAGCGCTTGCATTGAGCTGTGATCAAGTGGATTGACAAAGACGTAGAGTGCAAACCTCTTTGGCGCTGTTGTGGAAGGTTGTACTTAGTCTTTCGAACAAGGCTGCGCTGAACCCTATGAACCTCACGAGCCTTGGCGACACGAAGAGTGATTTCTGTACGTACCAGACAGAAACGACCTACGCATGAGTGTCGTAGACCGAAAACAGAGCAGAAAAAGTATCTACACTATTCTACTTCGAATTTGTATAGGCAACTGTGTATCGATACCTGGGAAAAAAGCTCGCTCGAAGCGGCACCGCAGTTACACCAGCTTATATTCATTGGGAGAACCGAATTTCGAACATGCGTCTAGTCCGATTCACATTTGCACACGTCACAAGCGAACACAGGGCACAGATGACAGAGAGATAGTAGATTTGGCACAGGCATACTGTATTCTTAATGTACGAGTACCAGCCGAAACGCCTTCTCCGAGTATCATAAGAGATCCCATCTTCAAGCCATGTATGACTCGCCATGCTCTAGGGAAATCCAATCCCGGGCCACCATGTGAAATGCATACCGGACTATCAAGACAATCGGTATGTCCTCCGTTCATTTGTGCACGACCATTTTTCATATCGTGCCCTTGGATACGATGCGTTGCAAAACTCTCCAGTCTAGACCATCCACTTCCCCTGCTCCTAGTCGTTTCTTATGAGGTTGGGTTGGGGTTCATCTGCAAACTTTGTAAGTATGTGTGTAGATACTTGTGCGCCCGTCACGGGGTATGCGACATATCATACCTTTCTCTTGCCACCAGTCATCGTCACGTTGACGAATCGTCGGGTGTATGTTATTCTCTTCTTCGCCCGTCCCTTAGGAGTCTTCTTCTTCTCTTGGGGTTCGACCTGAGAATAGAGAGTATAATCAGCATTTATCCTTCAGGTCGTGTTCGCTGATTGTTGTTGAGGAGGCGATCCAGGACAGCATGCTTACCTTTGGGGTCTGAGACTTGACCTTGCCGGCACGGGCAAGAGATCCGTGAACTTTACCCATGATTGCGAGTAGGTGTGTTGATCGATCGAAAAAGGTCGGTTATCTTCGTGCTTTCGATGAAAACTTGTTGACGGTCGATGGTATGGTCGGCTAACGTGGTGAAAGAATTCGAGGCCAAGAATCGCAGGTTAGTGTGATGTGTGAGTGGCTGCCAAGCCAAGAAAGCATCACGTGATGAGACTTTGGGCGGTACATATGGAGTCCTCTCCCACCAACAGACTACTTACTGCCATTCAGCGTTCGATGCACCAGAGTCATTACGTGAGCCTTCTATGGTCACGGTGTGTTAATGGCGAATTATGGTGCTGTATCCAAGTTCCTACAGGATCAGGATTTCGTATTTGATAGATTTGATTTTATCTCAACTTCTGTCTGTCATAATGCTGATCGCTGTGTCATGCAAATCGCAGGCCAGCTCGCGTGAACTCGGGGCCTCATGCGATTCTACAACATATCATTGCTCAAGTTCATCTCTGGTTGGTAAGTCAATGGCTTTGTACAATAGAATAAGGGCAGATGCACTTTCGCCACCACCGGAAAGGGCCATGATCCGTTCAGTATCAACTTCGCTGACTTTGTCATCATTGAACCACCACCATTTTCCATCCTCTTCCATGCGCTTGCCGCCAGGTGCCTGGGCATCATCAACAAGCTTACCAGCCTTCTTGACGTAGCTGGTGTAGTGTCCACTATCAGCGCTTGCGCCTTGATGGGTGATGACACCCCTCAACTCGTACAAGCCAGACTTGTTGGCACCGGCATCATCTGCAAGTTGTTGGTTGATCAAGGCGTAAAGCTCTTTCTTTGCCTGCTTGATGGATGCGGCTCGCTCGGCTTCATATTCGGCGTCGGTCTTGTAAACGTCCATATCACCTCCTTCCGGCTCCTTCTCTTTCGAGTCCTTCTTGTCTTTCTGTTCTCGAAGTTTGGCGATGGGAGCTGCTTCTTTCTCTTTCAGAGCTTCATCGTGCTTGCGATCTTCTTCTTGCTTATGCCGAAGCTTTTGTCGCTTGCGGGCCCTCTCCACATCCTGTTCATCCTTCCGAATGTCACGGACTTTGTCGCGAACAGGGATCAATCGTTTCCTCAGGTCATCTGTGCAGAATTCCACGGCGTCCATTTCCTCTGGAAAAGTCACCTTTTTCAAAATCTTAGCTTTCTTTTGGACGTCCTTCTTCCAGAAGAAGCGCACAAAATGGACGGTTAGGTATTTAGGTAATCGTGATACTCTGGAAGTCTTGGTGTAGATGGCATTGCGATCAAGCGTCGGGGAGTTCTTCTCGATCTCTTCAGTCAGGCCGGCCAATAGACCATCGCGAAGGTGATTGATAGATTGATCGATGTGGCAATCAAGCTTCAAAAACACATCGTCGGCCTCGACAACAGGTTCATTCTCCGCAGCTTCTGTCGGTGGGGCGAGCGATGAGTGGAAAGCGCCGGCCATATAACGATCGATGAAAACAACTTCTTTCTTGGCCTTGTTTTCTTCGGAAGAGCTCTTCTCTGTGATTTTCAGATTCTGTCGCAGTTGATGAATGATTTGAGACCAGGCTTCTTCAGCATCCTGCTGTGCAAAACCGGCTCCATTCTTTGCTCTTTGGGCAAATTGAGGATATATCACTCGTAGAGCGTTCCAGAACATCAGAGGAGCAAGACTTCTTTGAGTGTTCGACATACGGCTGTAGAGATCCCGCAGCTGTCCCGTCAGGTCGTTCGACGCACCCGTAGCGCCGAGACCAAGCCTGCTCATTTCGTCACTGTTACTGCGAACGTCACTGTGGTCGGGATTGTATGCTTTTAACTCGTCTTGCATTTCTGGTATGCTTCGTAGAACTTGTAGGGTGGAATTGAGATAACAGGTATTGCCCAGATTCTCAAGACCAGCAGGTGTAGCACCTTCCTGAGCAGCTGCCTCGGCTTCGGTCATGTCTTCGAGGAATCGAGGCTTCTCAACCGGCGCAGCCAGTGAGCTTCCCTCAGAGGAAGCCGTCCCCAGCATAGTAAAGATCTGACCAGGTTTGGCATTGAGTTTTGACAGATCAGTGTCATCTTTTAGTTTTCCACCTTTTATTAAAATTGATTGTCGTTGGGGCTCGACACCAGTCAGAGAAAAGAGTTGCAACTTGAGCATTTCACCGTTGGAGGCTGTGTCGAGATCGACATTGTACTTTTTGCCCTGGTGTTTGATGACAACTAAAGATCGTTAGAAGAGAAAGTCAGGTAGAGAATGTTAACTCACTTGGAATGGTCGCCATCTTGCGTGGGAGATGAAGGAGTGCAGAGGTCGTGAAACCGAAGAGAGAATGTGTGTTATGAAGAATTGGATGGAAGTGTTCTTTTGAATGGTGGCGGGCGTGCAACGAGCAGTCAACAAGGCTGCGACTGGCGCAGGCAGGAAGGCTTGCGACGAGCCGGGGGTGTGTCAGGCACAAGGCAATATGTACTCCGTGTGGAAAGGGTCTAAGTAAACACTATCTGCCTTTGTCAGACAGAAATGCCCCGCCAAGATGCCCGCAACAGCCTGTAAGATGACGGTGCCTCGACAACTTGATAATACTCGTAATCCAACACCGGTCAACGCGGGACAATTCAGCCAACACTTTACCTGACTTACTCGCTTTTTGCATATCCCCAAATACCTTGGGCTCATTCACGAGTCACACCTGGTCAAGGGAGTTCATTCTCACCACATATCAGCTTCCATGTGGCGTTAAACCCTTCCGATCCCCATCCACGGACCGCATTGAAAATGGCATGCCTACTCTGTTGGACATCCAGAACCATGACACTTGCTGATCTGTTCACAGTCACAATCTCTGCGTCCTTACCTCCAATGTGTTCGGTCTTCCCTCACAGCCGCCCTCGCCCTCTCGAATTTTGCCTCTCAAGCCTCTGAAAGACACAATGTGCCAGAAATAGAAGCTGCCAGCTCGCCAGAAGTCCTGCTCAACCCGCTGACAGTCGCGCGAAACGAGAATGAGAAGGTTCTCATAGAGCCAAGCGTCAATAGTGTGCGAGTCAGCATACGAATCAAGCAAGCAGACGAGATTGAGAACATTCTGGTCCATAAATTCACACGGTTCCTGACCCAAAGGGCCGAGTCCTTTTTCATATTGAGGAGAAAACCAGTCAAGGTACGCCATTGGAGGGCCTGCCAGGAGTGTTTTCTGACTGAAATAGGGCTATGATATTTCGTTCCTGATCACAAACACCCATACTGAAGAGATGCTCAAGCATAAGCTGGTGGATTTCATTATTCAGTTCATGGAGGAAGTCGATAAAGAGATCTCCGAGATGAAGCTCTTTGTATGTGGGAGTTGTATTGCACAACCGCAGATCAGCTAACTTCGTGTGCAGTTGAATGCCAGAGCTCGATTCGTTGCAGAATCCTTCTTGACCCCAGTATGAATATCCCAGCTTGGAGCGCCCCTTGCTAACAGTCAATAGTTTGACTAGAAATGCTATCTGCAAGGATTCTGGTTCTGCAACACCACCTGTCGTAACTCAGCGAAGTTTCGAACACAGAGCAATGCCAACTTTACCAAGGTTGCTTGCAGATATGTCTGGGTGCACAAGGCTGCGGCTCATGGATTGTGCGCCCCTGAGATCATGCAACTACCACGCATTGATGGATATATGGTTGCGGTTGTCTGTTGCCTAAACACAACCTCTTCATACAGCTCCTTCTGGCGGAATGACGTATCAACCTGACTCATGAGAATAAATATGAAGATTTCATCTTGCTGCATACAAGCAACTCTTTGTCCGAACCCCTGTTGTTGATTGATAATGCCCGTTCTGCGGGCTTTACTGACTGGCTTTGGTTTTCCACCCCCATTGCAGCTTTGCAATGGCACACAAAGAAGCATTTTGGAAATCTTATAGGGGTTCTTGGGTTTAGTGTCGATGTGGTCTCTGTTCCAAGAAAAGAGTCGAACCACTCAGCCATACGAGCTAGGCTTGTCCATACCTTCGGAAAGATATCACTGCAGCAAACTCAACTCATTCTTCCAGATGGATAACATCGACGCAATAGAGAGACAATCACGAAAGAGATTCTCTTGAATTGACAATCGGCCTTAATATACTCCGGCTTCCGTTGTTTGATTGACGGGCAATCAAATGAGGCTTCTTTCCGCCCAAATCGTGCAGCCGAGAAACAGTATTCGCTCACCACCTTCGCGATTCAGCCTCATTTGGCTGTGGGTGAGAAACAGGACACGAGCCTGTTTTCCACACCGCCCACGTAAGTGTTCACTTCACGTTCATTGACATTGTACACAGTACAGCATGTCTTCTGTTGAGTTCACTTCTCAACCTTTCCTGTCATCAAATTCTTCTTTCCCATCTTATCACATATTTTTTCCATTCCATTCTGTGCTCTTAGAATTATCCTCAGTTGCTTGCGGTGACCTTGTCTCCAGTTCACCATGGCATCGAACTTGGCTCCGTCGAAGCGTAACGCTGTAGGCACTGCTACAGAGGACCCAGGACCGCTCATTGCGGATAGCGCAGACACGATTTCAAACGACCGTCACAATAATACACTCCAGGACGAGACCCGCGCTGAGAACAATAGAGGCGCTGGTTCTCACAACAGCACAATTGAACCTATTCACGGTATTGACCAAAACAATAGGGTCCAGATCCATCCTCCCATGACTTATTCAACGAGAATTACTACTTCCTCTGGTGTTACGCCTTTGGTAGTAGCTAGTGACATGCCTGCTCCCACGCCAAATCTGTCTCAAAATCCTGGCTGGAACCAACCTCTCACCAACACCGTCAACTTCTACGACCCCGACAACACTTTCATGCAAGTGCCAGCTTACTATCCAGGAGCAAGCATGGAGTCCGTTGTCCCCTTCGATCCCTCCTCGAATGCGCCGTTTACAGACCGAACACAAGCCTATCTGCCTCGGGGTCATGGTGTGATTAAGATCAAGAATGTAAGTTCATGACACTCAGTTTCTTGCGCACCGTCTACCTGAATTTTCGAGTTATTGATGAATGTTGATAACGTGGTCTCGATATTGGGCATATGCGGAACGACAAAATGCAATTGTTGTTGAAAGTTGGTGATAGATCGGCTGAAGACCAGAGATGGAACACCTCTATGACAAGAGATATTACGATTCATTGCATTCTCTACTTTCGCAATCATTGATATATGCTGACCATCAATCTGTCTAGATCCCCTATGGCCTCACCATGGCAGAGGTACAACAATTCATCTGCAAACATGTCCACGTTGAAGATCTGCTCAAACCGCATGAAGAGGGTTTCCCCATCCACATCATCATGGAACGTTCAACTGGCAAAACCATGGACGCCTATGTTGAAACAATCACTCCATTGATCGCAGCTCAAGCATGGGAACATGGCTTTGGTCTTGCTCGCATGCGTCATCCAAAACTCGGACAACGTCATGTCACTGTCGAATTGAGCGACCAGGCAGAGTTGATGCGAGACCTGTTCCCCAGAGCCCGCTGTGTTGTTTGGGATAAGGAAGAGCCTAGCGTTCCTCGTGTCATACACACGAACGATATCTACACTTCTGGTTTCAAAGGCTTCTTCACTGCTGAAGAGATGAACGGTGTGATTCGACACGCTGAATATCCGCAACGTGTAAGTCTCGTGCTCTTGACCTCAAGCGAAACTTTACTAACTTACAAAGTCTCCGTTCGCTATGCGTAGCTTTCAACGCACCTTTGAAAGCACTATCAGTACGTTGTACAAGGTATGGAACGCCACCACGTTGTTAAATTGTTTTACTGATGAGTGCTAGTTTCCTTGGTATGCTGTTGACTTGTATACCTTGCAGCAGCGCGACACCCTCTTCAAGACGTACACTCGGCAGTTGGAGATTTTGATTCTGAAGGTTGATCCTGGCTCTCAAATCCCTCGTGAAGTTGGACTCGACAACAAGTTGCTGATGGACTTCTTGTTCGCTGGCATGAACTGTGCTGGCTTTTCAGAGCGACAGAAGGCTTTGATCGCTGATGCATCTCTTCGAGTTGGTCCGGGAATGCGCATCAGCATTCATGCCCGCAACTGGCCCTTTCAGACTCTTTCTTCCAACCCACCAATGCTATCTGATCAAGACATTGGTATGTGGTTCGAAGTTCTGAATCTAGGCGTTACTGCCTTCGAGCGTGAAGGTCGAGGAGATATCGGTGTCCGACCGCACCTGGAAGTCATCCGTGACAACAATGGCTATCTGTTGTTTACCTACACCGAATCTGGGGCCAATCTTCCCCGCAAGACCTTTTCCCGGATGGAAAGCAAGGTATTGACCACTTTGATGCGCAAGGGCTGGTCTAGTTACATGAGTCAGCTTGGTATTGCTCCTGGCTTCGGCCTTGATCCTAATGTATTTGGAGACGACGTGCTCGAACCAGTCTACGATGCCGAGGATGACATGTTCCAGGACGAAGAGGAGGGCCATACCGTGGCTGGCGAGAAACGTATTGAATACACCGATGAAGAACGCTTGGAGGCGTACCAGAAGGTTTTGGCCGATATCAAGAGAGAGGAGGGCGCAATGCTCATGGGACAAATTGATCGCTTTGCCAATCGTGGCTACGCAAATCCTGATTCGGGTCTTGCTGAAGGCATGACGGCTTTGGACATTGGCTCTGGTCGACCCACGCACCGTGGTACACTCAATCCCGAGTCAACCACTTTCACACCACGACTCACCAGCGCGAATATGGGCGGCTTTCCACGATTTGGACCAGCACAGGACATTAACCCACCCTACATGCTCAATCCCACCCAAGTCACCAGTTCGTCACATACCAACACAGGTCACCAGAGCACCAACAGTGGCCTAGTCTCGGGTCCGGCTCCTGCTCATACCTCGGTGCGTCGCGATGTTAGCATGACCACTTCTATGAGTGATCCGGATGACGTTCCTACGCCAGCTCGAGTCTACCCTCCAGCGCACCCAGATGGCAGCCCGCCTCTTAGGAGAATTACGACTAGATTGGAGAACACGGTCAGAACAGAGTCTATGGTAGTCAGCCCTCAGCACTGCGGTGTGGCTTCGCCCTTGCCCACTTTGCAAAACTTGCCACCAGCTCCTGCTGGTATGGTTCACCCCCTACCTGACAAGCCACCTGCTGTTGTCATGCCGTCTATTGGTCGACCGAATTCAGCTCGTGGAAAGAACAAGGGCACTGTGTCTGGTATGACATTTGGCGTTCGTCCAGAGATTGGACGTGGAGCTATCGGCCGTGACCCACGTTTGTCTACTGGCATGAGTGGAATGGGCGCGGGCGTGACTATGGGTGCTGGCATGTATGGTTCAAGCTCTTCATCTCGTCGATCCAGCGAAGGCTATGGCATTCCTTTTGGCAATGCTGCGCTTGCTGCTGTCGTCCGTGGTCGATCTCCTGGTCAATTCGACGGCCCCAACCGTTCCAATGCTTCCACCCCAACCTTGAATCTGGGCATTGGAATGACTGGCTTGTCCCCGATCGGAGCCGATCCAAACGATCTGATGGTTCAGTCAGACCCTCCACGTCCCGGAACTCATGGCCGTGCTCAATCCCAATTGAACATCTCTGATGTTATCAACGAGGAAAGCGAAGAGAATGAGGTGGCTGACCACGGTAAGGGTCGCATGTACTACTGATCGAAATGCCGATCTCGTACCGAGACAGGTCCAAGCATTAACGGATGAAAGATTGAGTGCTGTGGAACGAGGCGGATGTCACTCAGACACTCTGTCTTGGTACAGCAATAGATTGCACACTGGAGATGACGAAAAAAAGGGGCTAGATGATGAGAGACGACAGAAGAAGTCGAGTTTTGCATCGAGAACTCTTTCAATGGTTCAACGAGTGACATGGATAGATAGTGATGCACAGAAGTAGCAGAAACAATTGACATGCAGCGTCGCGAATAGCTATTCGCCGATGCAGTCTGTACAGCAATTCCATACCGGTAGTAGCTAGCGCGAAGGGTTCTTGACTAACTCATCCTCGGGAGGCAGTACAGTATTGTAGTGAGAGAATAGAGTAAGGCCTTCGAGATCGAGATTTGGCATCTCGGAAACAGGGAGAGCGGGTAATAAATCTGTCTGACAGGAGCAGTATCGTGGCGTCCCTGTGAAGAATTCATCGTCAGACGATCCTCTACTCGAGATCATATATGAATCACGTGAGACAGAGCTACTTGACTAGGCTTAGCTTGGCTCGGTACTTGTATCTGCGAGATGCCGTGAGTGGCTGGTAAAATACCTGGGAGTCTTGGAAGTCACGGGACTCCACGGTAATATCGCCAACCCCGGCAATACGAGGATTCACATACTGTACGGAGTGTTGCAAGCCTCCTCGTTCACCCACTCATCCACTCACCTCCACTCTCATACTGCCTCGATCCCTCCTCCTCATTTCTCAAGAAATCACTTCCCCTCACTCCGCAATAATCGCAGTCCAGTCCTACGCGTGCGCCCAAGCCCAGAGGCTTCGAATACGATGGACATATCGCCTTCGTCCAGTGCTGGAGGTAGACTGAAGCGGAAACAGTCTGGCAATAAGTCGAAGACTTTACCGTGCCCGCACTGTCAACGACTCTTCGCTCGACTGGTATGACCTCTTGTTCAACCTCATCCCGCGCTCCAATCTTGGAGTCTACCTCGGTCGCAAGCTAACTTGTTGTCGCGCTGCACAGGAACACCTTCAGAGACACATTCGAACCCACACCAAAGAAAAGCCTTTCGTCTGCGAGATCTGTTCAAAATCCTTCGCGCGAAGCGACCTTCTCGTGCGCCATGAAAGACTCGTCCACCCTGGTGAAGAAGAGCAGCATACCACGCGGAAGTCTCACAAGCATCATCTCATAAATGCCAACAATGCCGCCAAAGCTGCGGCTCAAGCCGTTCAGCAGGCCCAGCAGGCGCAGTCTGTCTCTTCTGATCCGATCGAAATGGCTCCGCAGCAGAACCAACCTCTGCTCTCACCACATGCTACAGAGGGAAGGGGGATGATGGACATGCTAGATCCTCAGCTGATGCAACCGGCAAATGGCATGCACTCGGTTGATGGCATCTCATCGCACCAACAGCTGGGTGCTCCGCCACTTGATCCGTCCTGGGGTTATGACCTGAACCTGCTATCGCATGCCGCTAGTCATGTAGCTTCCAGCGGCCAAGATCATTTCATGTCGGGCATGCAGACATCTGCACAAGAACCTCTCCACGAACCACTACAGCAGATCATGCCTCCTGTCTCGGAAGGACAGTACCAGCCACGTATGCTGACAGAAGGTTACGGCCAGCCAACCTCAATGTTTGAGCCTCCAGATCTAGGCGACCCAATGCAAGACTTTACCGTCTTCCTCGACAGTGTGGGCCTGTCGTCGGAATGGTATGCTAGCATGTTCGGTGATCAGGCTGACAACTACCATTCACCCGAAATTCCACGCGATCATCTCAACATATCTAGACCTAATCTGAATGGTGAGCCTCCCATCGACAGCAAACTTAGCCTGCCCCAAGATGAATTGAGCACTTTCTCCCGTTTTGGTTCGAGGTTGCCATCCCTTCAGCCAGAGTCTAAAGAGCCTGATTCGCATCGACCAGAGCCGCGAAGTTCAATCGAAGAAGCCGAGGCGACCAAAACCAAAGCGACTTGGGACATCTCCGATTTTGATCGATCGGCTTTTGTCTCCAAACTGGCTGGCTTTGACAGTGTCATGCCCAAAGGCTTCATCCCTCCCTCCAGACATTCTCTCTCGCGTTACCTTGCCGGATATGTGAACGGCTTCCACGAACATTTACCTTTCATCCATGTCCCGACGCTGCAAGTAGCTGGCAGTGCTCCAGAATTGATCCTAGCTTTGGCCGCCGTAGGCGCCCAGTATCGCTTCGAGAATAGCCGAGGCATAGAGCTCTTTTACGCCGCGAAGGCTGTTGTTCTCGAACAAGTGCGGCGGCGAGACGATTCAGCGAGCTCTCATCTATGGAATAGGCCACGGACCGGATCTATGGCCCAGTCCCCTGGTGGAGGCTTCACGGCACAGAGCCATTCCAGCAGTCCTTTCCAGAACGTGACACCTGGGTCTCCTTTCATCACCGATGGCAAAGAGCAAATGGAGTCTATACAGGCGCTGTTATTGTTGACCGCCTTTGCGACTTGGGAACGGCACACCGAGCTTCTCAGAGAAGCTCTCGCCTTCCAGAGCACTTTGGCTCGTTTGGTCCGTGAGTCCGGACTTGCAAGCCCCGAGATCGTGCAATCTCCTGAAGATCTTACTTGGGAAGAATGGATCAAGATTGAAGGCGACAAGAGGACGAAGCTTATCGTCTATTGCTTCTTCAACTTGCACTCAATAACATGGAACGTGCCGCCTCTCATTCTCAACTCCGAGATCAAGCTCAACCTGCCCGACCCTGCCAATGAATGGAAAGCTGCCTCGGTCGAGCAGTGGAAGAAGCTACGAACTGACAACAATGCTGTCGAAGTACCATTCCAAGCAGCTCTCACTCGACTATTCAGTACTCAATCTCCAGGCCCCATTACTCCCATATCTCCACTTGGAAATTACGTTCTTGTCCATGCCCTCATCCAGCAGATTTTCTTCGCTCGGCAACTTTCACTCGCTTGGCCTGGCGTGGCCGGTTCAAGCCTACGTGTCGAAGACATCGCCGTCCTCGATCGAGGCTTGCGGGCGTGGAAGGCAGGCTGGAAACGGACGCCCGAGTCCAGTTTAGATCCGCAAAATCCCAACGGCCCTGTTGCTTTCACCTCTACGGCCCTCCTTGGTCTAGCATATATCCGATTACACGTGGACATGGGTCCTCTCCGCCACCTTGAAACGAGAGACGCCACCCAAATCGCCACGGCTCTCCTCAACACACCCGATATCCGTCGCGACCCTCGCCTGACCCCTGCCCTCTTGCATTCCGCCCACGCCCTTTCGATCCCGGTCCGTCTGGGCATCGACTTTGTCGCTCGCACGCAGACATTCTTCTGGTCGATCCAACATTCCCTGTGCAGTCTCGAATGTGCGTTCCTCTTGAGCAAGTGGCTGGCCGTCCTGTCCAGACTAAAGTCCGAAGGCGGCGCTCCCGTCACGGAGCACGAACGGAAACTGCTCCTGTGGGTGCGCAGCCTTCTCGACGAGACGGAGATGACTGTTCAACTCGACGGCAACGCCAACGACCACACGGTGCTGAACGAAAGTCGGGCCCTGCTCGACGACACCCACAAGATGTGCACTTTGAGCGTCGCGGTCGTGCGGGTGTGGAGCAAGACCTTCAAGGGCAACACGAGCTGGGCGATTGTGGACATGATAGGGTCCGCGTTGGAGTTGTACGCGGACATGTTGGAGCAGGAGATGTTTGGGCGGATCTGATTGGTTTTGTTCTGATGACGTTTCATGATGATCCATGACGGGTCATGGTTTCACAAGGTCCAGATCCGAGGGATTGTCATTGTTTGATGAGGAAGCATGGCAGGGTCACGTCCATGGTCCATCGAGTGCGAATGAATGTTTGTCACCGATAAAGGGTCAAAAAGAAACGCCAAATGAACGCATTTGAGAAAAGTAGCGACGATCACGCAAATGGGGACGGGAGGCTTTTGAAGGGGGGAGCCTCGAAAGAGAACAAAGCGAAGGAAAACACGATGCAACATTTGCTTCCCCCCCCTGGCCCCCGTTTTTCGTTTCTCCCACTTGTACGGGTGCAGGTTGCAAGGGTACGTTACGGGAATGTCTGCGACGGCCTTGTCCTCCGTCGTCGTCATCATTACTACCACCACCACCGTAACCGTTACGATGTCGAGGTTTGTTTTCTCTCGATGTAGACTTGTCACGTTTTCATGTCGATAAATTATCATCATTACACAGTAGTCTTTTTTTTCTACCTGTCCTACCCTACGGTAGCTACAGTGTTTCCGTGCTTGTTTTTGCTTGTCACTACATGTTTCTGCTCCTCGAGACACACCCGAAGCACCAACAGGAGGGGGGTTTGGGGATAATATTTCCCAGAACAGGACCGACGAAAGGAAAAAGACGTACCTGATATGTTGTCCATGTGTTTAGCTAAGTACAGCAACAAACGACGAAAGATATTCAACAACATTTCTCCCTTCAATTTCTCACATGATGGTGTTTCTTTGCGACTTGTACGTGATTGTTGTACTGTACGTGATGATGCTCTTTCGTTCGTCATGAGCAATCAACCTACGTCTTATTCGACAATCTGCTCCTCTCCACACCCTTTTCGCCCGGTACTGTCTCCCCCGAGTTCGAATTCGACCGTCACCACCCACGAGCACCGGCGTTGATAGCTTCGACGACAATCCCCACATTCGATGGCCGAGTGGTTGAGGGTATTCCGAGAGGAGCAGGCTCACCTGAATGTCATCATTCTGCAGAGCAGCCAAACCGTCACGGCGATGCTGTACCCCCAACTCGAGATACCTTGGCACATGACCACAAACTCCAAATACTCACCTGTTTCCCCATTGCGCAACGGAATAAGAGTTCTGTACATTCCCGCGAGGTACTGGCCAGCAAGAGTCGGCCCGGAGGGGTAAAGAGTACAATCAACAAGGGAAAGAGGGGGGAGTCTGGGGAGGAGGAAATGTATCCAAACTGTTTCGAGGGTGATCATCATTTTGGAATCTCCATAAAAGGAGATCCCATCAGACACCAAAACGAGAACAGCACGTGGACGAGGTTGATATTGTTCAAGCGACTTCAATGACAAGCAGAACCCGATTCAATCCCACGACGAGATCCGATCTGATGTCTGTAGAAGTGCAAGACGACGGGATTGATGGCGTCCGACTCCTGCAAGTGAGGCACAGCGTGACAACTCTCCGAAGGAAGTATCGTCTCTGGCGTTGGTGGCAGAGAGCCGGACGGATATCCTCCAAGGTGACCCTTCCACCCACACATCCTGAGCACAGAAAACAAAAACAGGGGGATGGGGCAAGACTATAATGTTTAGTATGGTTTTGTGCTTTTCTTTCAAATTTTTTTGGGCGGTTCAGAACACGGCGTCCCATGTCCGTCACCTTTTTTTTGGAGATTTGGGTGAGTGTGCCGAAGCCAACTCGTGCTCAGGGTGTGTGGATGACCGGTACCTTTTCCTGCTCCTGCGCATTACACAACCCCCCCGGTGAAGCTCCAGCGTCCTGGAACCCACGGCCACCAAGCCAGCATCCGGACAACAGTGATGCCCCACTGAAGCCTTCAGACAGACCTGCGCCATTCCTCCGTCAAACACCATGTCGCCATTTGTGCATGAGGTGGCACTCACTTCAAAGCTATCCCGTCTAGCAAAGTAATGAAGTGCATCTGACCCCCAAACATGCCGCCAGAGAGGGCCAAGTAGTCGTAACCACGTTGGTCCTGCTCATGGCGCCAGTCTTCTCCAGAAAGGGGGCGGACCCTGTTTCTGGAGCAAATGCACACTTCCTGACGGCAGCATTGGTTGGCGCCCCATTGCCGGTACTGTTTCCAGTATTTGTCGTCAGGAACTCTAAACTCGGCCGTTTCGGCTCGAGGGCCTTCGTCCTCCTCCTTTGTACCGTCGGAGACTACAAAGCGCACCTTTCGCTCCGGTCGGGATGGAATCCCTTCCTTCGCAGTCTGCACTTGCTCCGCTTCCCCAGGGATATCGGCACGATGCTTCAAGGCCGAGCGCCCCGGAAGGACGGCTCGGATAGCCTTGAGCGGCTTCGGCTTCATACTACCCTGGATCCGCTTCACGAGACCCTTGGCTACACCGGAGGCCTTCCGGCCAACAGGAGTGCTTTTGCCGACTCCTTTGTCCTCAGGCTTCCCGCCATTAGCATCAAGAGCCTTGCTACGTCGTATCTGCGCTGAGGCAGACCGTCGCATAGCAACCAACTTCTTGACGCGAACGGGAAGCCGGGACTTGAAAGTCTTCTCCCCTGTGACGGCGGGAGACACGGCGTTTGACTTGCCCTTTCCATGCACACCTTCGCCAGCAAGTGGACGAGGTTGGCAAGAACGGGACAGACCACCTTTAAGACCCACCCAACGGGGGATCCTAGAGACCGCAGCCGAAGCTTTGGAAAGAAGGGCCTTGGCCTGCTTCTTTATGGTACTGCCCGCCCAGAGCTCCCCGGAATCACACGAGCTGGGTTGAGAAGGTGGCAGGTCCGAGACAATTGTCGCAGTGGTATTCTCTGGTAGCTTGGGGGCATCCATGCTACCAGCGAGACCAGATGAAGAGGAGGCTTTTGACCGTCCTCGGAGCTTGCTTCCGGTCAACCAAGGCCGAGACCTGGTCTCCCGAGCTTGCCTCCTCAGGTCGAAGTTGATGGACTTGACTTCCACACCCATGGTGTATGGTCAACCTGTAGAACAGGCGTTAGTCTAGAATCCAATGGATCAGGTTGGATCCATTGAAGCAAGAGAAAACAAGAATGACATGAAGCCATGAAGCAGAGAGCTCGTTGAGAAACAGCAAACAAGAATCAAGGGGGGAGGTTGGGTTGAGAGGGCTCCTTGGGGATAATGATGGGCCGATTATTGAGTAGGATATGTGGATGGTTGGCATCGTAGTTCCAGGAAGCATCTCCCTTGAGTGGAGAGTCTGTCTCAAGATAGGTGGTTATGTAAAACGGGGTCTTGAAAGGTCTTCCTTTGGGAAGCATGCTCAGTGGAGGGTATAACAAGGAATGAAGGTGTTCCTGAAGTGAAGAATGATTCTTGAAAAGAGGTTGCTTGTATGATGAGGGATTCCAGGAACCAAAGTAGCTCAGAAATGAGAAGGCTGAAAGTGATAACCATGAGAGTGAAAGTGTTTGGAAAGACATATTGGATTTTGTATTGTGAATGAGAGAAACTCATGGATAATGATACTGGAAGCAATTCTTTGTCTTTGAAAGGGCCATCAGCGGCATTTGGGCAATGCCCAGGCTATGGGACATTGGGACCGGAGTGTGAGAGTAATAGAGAGGGCAGGATGTCACGCAATGCTTGAAGGTATGTTGGGAGCACCTTGTGCAGCTTTCCGTGGCAAACGAGTGTGTTCAGGGCAGGCATCCTGTCCAGAACAACCACAAGCAAGCGATGAAGAGCAACGACATGGTAACTCACCAACAACCTCAAGCTTCTTGTCTTCTAAAAATTCCACCTCTCGAGTATCGGAAGGATCGTTGTCTGTACACAGTAAGCAGTATCTCGATAGCAATAGAAGTTAGCAGAGCAATGTGGATATACGCACTTGAGGAAAGAGAAAAGAGGAGATCAGGAGGGCAGGGCGAGGCATTTGTAGAGACCATGTCTGCTCGTTGTTGACATCCGATGGGGCTGCCTTCAGACGGGAAACAAAACACATGACAGCTTGCACGTATTGACTTTTGCCGGAGCCCTCGCAAACCCCGAGCGAATTGGTGACAGGTGGGACTGAAGGCCCAATGGTGACCACAACGAAGTCGGGAGGAAGGGTGATTAGGAAATAGGATCTTCAGGCAGGGTGTGACAGGCAGAGTGTGGGCGCCAACAAGGTCAGAAGAGGCAATGATATCTCCATGGAGCACATCACGAGTGAACAGGATCCCGCGATGGAGTGAGCATGATGACTCTTGTGTGTTGGAGTATTGCTTTTCCTGACCCAGCAACCGATTCAAATTCTCGTCGAAGGCGAGTGCGTGATTTGTAGATGCCGGGTGGGTTCGAGGATCCGGAGGGGTCGGAGGAGTGGCGCATTTGCGATGTTTTCGGGGCTGGTTGAGACGTAGTAGTCCAGCCGGGTGAGGTGAACAGGGATAGAGACAGTCTTGTTGAAGTCGAGCCGAGAGAACGGCGATGAAAGTTTCGATTGAGGCTTGTAGGAGTGGGCGAAGGAATCCAATGTGTTGATGATCATGACCAGCGCAGCGCAGGCAAAACAAACAAACAAACCAGAGATGGTGGAGGCGAAGACAGAGAAGTGTGAACGTGTAAACACCCAACACCAACAACAATGCAGGGTCAATATACTCGTGGTTCATATATTGCCAAGTAGCCATCGACTGCGTGGTACATGATATCCACGCGTAGAGAGTAGGCATGCACTAGACAAATTTCTTTTTCCGTATTCTTTTCAGAAAAACAAGGCAAAATCTGCAGGCAAAATACAGTACACAGAATTCTTCAAAACGCAGTCAACAGAAATCTTTGCCAACACACTGTTAACGACACTCACTTAACCCGTCAAACGCGAGAGAAAAGCGCATGAGGGCGAGCAATACCAGACAGCCAACAATTCCACGAAACAAAACAGTCAGATGCACATGCTCATTACTTAGAATCTACAGTAAAGTAGCCAAAGATAATGCATGTCCTTGATTGATTGATCGTGATTGCTTTTGCTGGCCTGTTCCATTGCTTCTTTGCTCTTCAAGAATCTTCAGACAAGCCACTCCATAGCCCTTAGTCCGTAAACCATTAGTTAAAGTAGACAACGTTCAGTGAAACGACAAAGTCAGAAAATCCCCATGAGATCTCATGAGACGGGCGCGAGGGAGAAAGAGAGAGAGAGAGAGAGAGAGCGGTCAAGAGAAGAATGTAACAGTGTAATTAAGAACTCTCAGCGATGATAAATAACTTGAAAACAATTGCCAAATTAGGACGTTAATCTCGCTGTTCTACGGAGTATGCGTCGAGCACTCCAGAGTAAACTACCCAGATAGGTTTATTGATATTCTATTCAAAGTCCCCGATAAGATGATCGAGGCTCAAGTATGATGACTACCATGACCTTTTAGCGAGGCACTAAAATAATTCATACCGCGTTGTCCCAGAGCGCTTGAAGAATGCTTCTCTATTCCGATTCTGTGTAATGCACAATTTGCTTCCGTCGCTAAGATACACCTCATGCTC